GCTAAGATAATCTTGAAAAATGAGATTTTTTAATTTTAGTGGAGCAAGAGAATTAAAAAATCAAAAAAGGAAGATCTGTGTTCCGAAGCTTTTCTGATATCCTTTTAAATTTTTGAATAGCCGGTATGAGACGAAGTTAAGAATTTTGAAGTTTCTCTTTTCTGTTCTTTTGTGCTGTCTTCGCAAAACCTGAAGATTATTGTGTAACAGCTTTAAAAACCTCACCGATTTATCAAAAATAACTCCTAAATTTATAGCATGATCTTTAATTGCTAAGGTAAAATCCCCTATTTTTAAAACAATGTTTTTTAAACTGGTTACGTCATTTTTTGAACCAAATATCATTAAACAACATTTATTTGGGTTCAGAATGAGGGAATACTTTAATGAGATTGAATTATGATTTTTCAAATAATCATATATTGCTTCACAAGAACGAAACAAATTATCTTTGGTGAATAATAGATACAGCTGTATGTCATCCGCATAATATTAAGCGGTACAATATTCAAGCACCTTCTGGATGTTAGAGGTGTAAATCGAGTAAGCAGTGGGTTAATAACAGAGCCCTGCGGTACACCAAAATTAATTAAAAGCTTTTCACCAATTTTTCTTTTATTTAGGAAATTTCTAAAGAAATGTTTAGCCTGATCACTTAGTGCTGTATAATGTACAAACTGCCAACAATGTTATGTGATTTATCGTGAAGATGTCAATCATTGACGAGAGCTGAGCAACATCCGTGGTACCGCTGAAATGCGACCTGAAACGTGGAAAGAACCTGATTTTTCTCCACATGTCCTGACAGCTACTTATTTATCATTTTCTCCAGAATCTTTGAAAGACGCGAGGGGACAATAACTGGTCTTAAATCTTTAAATTCTTAAGGTTCAATACTTTTTGGCAAATGTATTATCGGAGTTTCGTTCCCCTCGTCCGGATATGGACATTATTAAAAATGGTGGACTCCGACTATCTCGAAATACACTATACCTACAAAGCGCTACGTACATTGTTTTCAAAATCTCCCGGTTTCTTAAATATCATCTACCATCAGGTTCCAACAGGAAAAATTAGCTTTTATTACTCCAATAGACCAGTATTCCATTTTTTTCTTGGCCAATACAGATAAGCTCTGGCAAATTCCATGTGCGTCAGTCTATTGTTCCTTAAGGGAACCGATTTTTAACAGCAACTACTCCATGAAGACGTCCGTCGATTAAACGGCTTCTTATCGTTCTAGTGGTTACTTTAGTGGATAGTGGATAGTCGTCGGGAGTCAAGTTTCGATATTATTAAAACGGTTTTATCAATTCTGGAAGTAGTTTTACTAGGTTTTCTCGACGCATTTCTCACGTCATCACGACTTTCATATTTTGTAATATTTTCGTTACAGTGGCGTAAACTTTATTTTCTAATGTTATGGTTCCAACATTGCTTACAACGTAGTCAATAAGGTTTTCTTTTATAACCTCCAGGTGCGGATGGGTTTTACAACTCCGCAACATGTATCTGCTGCATCAATAGTTTCCTCATTTTCTTCAATCTTTGCCATTCCCAATATCTTCGTTGCTAATCTGTCGCATGTCCTGACAGTTACTTATTTATCATTTTCTCCAGAATCTTTGAAACACGTGAGAGGACAATAACTGCGCTTAAATCTTTAAATTCTTAAGGTTCAATAGTTTTTGGCAAATGTATTATCAGAGTTTTCTTTCCCTCGTTCGGATAGGAACCTTATTAAAAATTCGCATACTTTTTTCCACTAACGTATCTATGTGGACGCCGACTATCTCGAAATACACTATACCTACTGCGCAACGCGCCACGTATCATCGTACGTTGTTTTCAAAATCCCGCGGTTTCTTTTTTCCGTAGAATTTTTCAACAAAACGGCCTGCGATAACAGCAACAATAATAACGCGAATTCCAAAATTCGACGTACACGTTTAATCAGCTTGCGCAATATAAAATTGTTATCATACGACGGTCCCGGTGCCAAGCGATTTCGAACGGAACGGGTGGTGCATTTGCAATGCACGCCTGTCCAAACCAGAGAGTGTTGAGCTAGGTCGGCGTCTGGACGCGGGTACACAAAAGCCCGCGGGTCTCGGCATCATTTCCGCGAGAACTATTATACCGGGTGCGTGCACCGGGCGTCGCGGTGTGTTTAGTGGTGCACCCAATTTGCACGCACCGTTTTTTCACCGTCCGCGTGCCTTTGCGACCGCCACGCGAAGTAGGTGCGTATTTTGACCGGCTCGGAACGCGTTCACCTGTTGAGAAAGTCAAGTGTGGGGGCTCTTATATTAATGCGTTTGTAACGCAGTGCGTCCCGCGTAATCGACCTTGACGCGAGCGACTTCCTTTTTTACGCGCTTCCCCTCCCCTCGCAAACCCCTTCGGGCGTCCGGGGTGCTTTTTTAACGCTCAATTTCGTAGAAATTAAGTTATAAACCATGAACCAATGAAATAAGATTTTTATTATTATTTGCGTATTGATAATTAAAACTAATTATTTAGTTAAAAAGGCAACAACTAGTTCGCTAAATTAGTTAAAATACTTTTTTAACTTTTTACAATAATTAGGAAAATGATTAGTTTTCTATTCCACCCACTTGTAATTTTTTTTATTATAATTTAATAATAGTGGTATACGTTTATTTTTTTGCACTTACATATTTACATTTATCTAATAGCAGTAAACCAAAAGCACAACTCAAAAAAAGGGGAACTGTAAAACAATTTGAAAAAAGATCATAGCTACTTTTAACTTAACTGACATATTATGATACATGCTGAATATATTAACACATTAAAATGAATGCATAAAAAGAAAAAAAGAATGCTGTACAATCTCCTAGTAACAGAACTGTACTTCGGCTAATTATCTTTGAACAATAGTTTGATTATAAAGAAAAGATTTATAATTTTTAACATTTTAACATTGATCTTGATTGTTCAAATGAAACTAGTGAAAGGAAAAAAAGCGATGGGTTAATTTTTTCGGGAACAATAATCAAAGCAAAAAAAGATGTCTCCAATTATAAAAAAAATATTTCTCAAAATTTAATTAAATTGATGATATCAAGAGGTTCGATAAGATTTTTAATAATAGTAATAATTGTTGAAGAGGCGACACCTAGTTCACTAAATTAGTTAAAGTACTGATTGCTAAGTAATTTTATTAATTCTCTTAAACAATAATTAAGAAAATGATTTCATTGAAGTGAAAAGAGAATACAATTTGGAACGATTTTTTTCGGAAAAAAAATTATCGGTAAATTTTATTTCTTATAAATGTACATCCATTAATAAGAAACTAATTTGTTTTTTTTTTTGGAACAATGACCATTTTGATCAACACAAAAAAATGTCTCCAATTATTAATCCGATCCGATGGGATTTTTAATAATAGTGAAATTAATTTAATTTAAATTAGTTAAAGTAGCGATCAGCAATTAATTTAATTATTTCCTTTAACAATAGTTCGGAAAATGATATAGTTTTTTTTTCCACCCGCTTGTGATAATTTGATTATTAAAAAAAATGAGACAAGTACACAATTTTGCTCTAATTTTTTCTAAGAAAAAAGGACAGGTTAATTTTGTTAGTTGCAAATCTGCATGCTTTCATAGAAAACTAACCTGCCTTTTTGATTAAAAAATGTCAAAAATCTTTCGATTCGACAGAATTTAAATTAGCAAGAGTGTCTATAACTTGGTTTCTTATTTTAATTTGATATTTTCAAAATTAATAATAATCTATGAATTTGCTTATATAGCAACCAGATATAATTTGCAACAATTGGTGTAAAATTTATCATTAACTAGGGGTAGAAAATGAAATTATTTTACTAAAGTGTAATTTGACAAGAGATTGTGTAGCTTTTCAATTTATATTAATGCACAGACTTTTACTTTTTAAATGTATTTAATATTTTACAAATAGGTAAATTTAAAAAACCAAGTAAATTTTTTCTTGGTTTACTTTCTCGGATGTATTTTTCTAAAAGAATATTGTTTAGCAAAAGCAAGTTAATTAGTTACAAAAATTCAATAAAAATTCATTCATTCAAATTCAAATAAAAAACAAATTGACCTTACTTTTTCCCAAATTAATAATAATCGACAAATTTTAATTTTTGGAAAATTAAGTCAGTTCTTTAGAAACTAATTTGATTATATTTAATAATATGTGTCATTTTATATTTTATTATTTGTTTGTATGTAACAAAGAAAAAAATTAATTATCAAAATTATAGAAGATTTTTTGATAAAAATCGGTAGAAATTTTTAAAAAAAAATAGCTTCCAAGTTTTTTTCAAGGCACAGATTTTTAATATTTAAATTTATTTAAAAAAAAAAACTAAACAAAAGCATCATCAAATAAATAAATGATAATAAACTGTGGCAAACTAGTGTCATCCCATGTAAATAATATGTTAATGATCAATAATTAGTTATAATATTATTATAACAAATCATTACAGAAATGGAAATGGAAAAATTTTTATATAAAATAATTTTCTAAAAGTTTACTTCTGGAGCGCGTTTCCGACTTTTTTTTAATAACAAATAATTTAATTTTTATATTAGAATTTGTATTATTGTATTATTATTAATCATAAAGAGCACATTGAAAATATTTGGATTAATTTTTTGTATAATTAAACCACAAAAAATCACTCAGTATATGTTACAGCTGACATGTGAGTATATGAAATATTAATGATAAAGTAATACATACTGAAAATTCTTTAGTGAGTGTGGGATGCAGTTTTTCTTTGGGAAAACGAGCCTTGAGTCGATCGCGATTTTTCCTTTAAAGATTAAAGTCGTCTACAATAATAGCTGCGGTCGTGACGCAGGCGGGTTTAAAAAGTGCAGCGTTAAATTAGAAAATGAACTGCATTGACAATGAAATTCATATTGATTTTCTATTTTTAGCTGTCAAACAGATTCACTATCAAACTAGACGCTAAACTTAAATGCACTTACCTACCGGTTGATGCAGTGCGTTGCGTTTTAACGCCGACGTAGCCGACATTTTGGTTAGGCGTGAGTTTTCCTTTTTTTTTCTAAAACAATTTTCCGGCCTTCGAGATCCATCCGCGTTCAATACCATCAAAAGTGAAAACACAAAATGGCGACCGCGGAGTTTCCGTTGTGGTGGTTACGCGGCGACATTGCCAACCCTTTGAGAGGTGAAAATTCGGGTTGATTTCCAAATTCGCAGGTACGCTTAGGTCGGTAATCTACCCTGGATTTCGAAATGTGTCCTAATCGACTTTTTAGCTATCAGGAAGGGGAAAAAAATCGCCTCCCTAGCCTTTGAACTTTGACCTTTGCAGCACCGAAACCCTGAAAACCGGCCCGAAATTTTCGAAAATCCGACCAAGGGGTTGAGAAAAACGGAGCTTCATGTTCGTCATTGTGTTTCCCGAAGGTAAATTCCATTTAATTCGTGACGTGTGCAACTTTAGGAAAGCGAACGTTCAAGTTCATGGCAAGGTGAACGCTTGGATAGTTATTGTATGTATTATTAGAATAATGTTTATTTATACAAAACGAGAAAGTTTTCCACGCCAAAAATCGAGTTATTTATTTTCATGTGCGAAATTTGTGAACTATCTACCGTAACGAATTACTAACATTTCCTTTTCATTTTTCAGTTTTTCTTCCTAAATTTTCTCAAAAATTTGCAACTTCTGACCAAGCATCAAAACCTACGTATATTGTAGTGTACTTCATTCCTTTCGTAAATCTTGTTTTCAAAATTCGATTTTCAAACAGGCAAGTCGATACTCCCTCAGAAGTGGAGTACTCTTCCCTATCTTCATGGGCATTGAACTGTACATAACCTATTTCGTCCCACAGCAAAGTTTCTGTTCATAAAAAAATTGTGGTCAGCTTTTTGCAGTGGTAACTAGTTATTAGGCAAGGAAAAAAAATAAATTAAGAAAAGCGGTAAGCACTTTGATAGTTAAATTATTAATGAATAGAACAAGATGGAACATAAAACAAAATCTGTGATATAGTATAGTGACTAGTATGCAATTACAACTTTGTTGTTGCTGTTTTAAATAAACCCTAGTTCTGGCAAATGAAATTTGACTCAGTAATTGCCAGTCATTCTACTTATTTCAGTTGAAGGAATTAAAAAGTTGTCAGCAACTGTTTCCTATATTATCCAACATCCTATGCTTCCAGTGAATTAAAATTTATAAAAATGGATATAATATATCAAATCAAACCTGAAACACCGTCGAGGACGAGGTCCATTACCTCAGTATATTACAAAAAAAGCAAATAGGAAAGAAAGCAGTTCCTCCTCTCTTCGGTCTCTGAATCCTCCTAATTTTTTTAAATACCGAAGTCGATGAGAGAGATATAGGGGAGAGTGGTAGGTTTCAATTGCATTATATGTGAATGGGGTCCGAAACTCAGCTTTATTACATTTGAAGTTATAAAAGGGTGAACTATGTCACTAACCTTGGGCTTCCTATGGAACGGATACTAATGCTGACTACTTAATTTACTGAATATGTTGTTTTCATCAATTAATTTTCCTATTTTCTTTGCAAAGTTTTTCATAGAATTGGAAAATGATCTGATAATCAGCTAGGGCAGATGCTAAAGATTTCCAATAGGTTTTTTGAAGATGAGATTCACACTAGGATTGGTAGTCTTATCCTTATCAAATTAAAAATTGGAAAATGTAGTGAAATTTTTTGGAATATAAAAAATTCAGTTGGTTTGAAGGAATGTAATATGGGAGGGGATTTTCAGGAGCCTATGCGAAGAAACTTTGTTTTTCAAAATGTCTTTCATTTTGATGTTATTTAAGATTTTATATTATTTTTTTAATAATTTAATTTTTACTGTCTTCATTTTTTTTTCTTGCATTATTATTTGTTTGTTTGTATTCTTATTCTTTGTTTTTTGATTTATGTGTGTTCCATATTCGACAGGCTCATTACTTTTTGATACGTATTATCACTTTCTGAATACAACTATTATTATATTTGGTCCTTATTATTAGGAGCATCTTATAATTGTGTGTATCTTAGCAATGGTCATAAGCAGGTGACCAAATTAACGTGAAAACTCAATTTTAAGCCTCTAGTGAAAAATATGCGGATCATAACTTAAAAAGTACTTACTGTTTTTTACTCTTTATTATTCATTTATTCTGTTAAAATTCTATAATGCCAAGTTTAACCAATAATCAATAAGTTCCAACCGATGGCTGAAGACGAAGATTTGTAACATTATATTTTTAAGTTAAATCTCTGGAACCTAAGTTTTCAATATATTAGTATTGATCATAAGCTGACAATCAAATTAACATGCAATTTTTTTAGGGCTCGCTAGAATAATACGTCATTTAAAATTAAATAATCATACCCAGGAGCATCGTACAGTTTAACTATTCGCTATTCATGGTATTAGTGGTTCTTTTAGATTCTTTTAATGACCAATTCCAAAATCTATCTAATCATCTAAAGAATACGTATAACAAATCACTGCATATAATCCACTATACTACAACACAGTCCATACTTCCTTATCTCAAAAGTAAAATTCTAAACCTTATCAATATCCACCAGAGATATGTATGTAAGCAATGTTTTTCTATATAAGCCACATAGTCTGAGATCATCAGCAAAACTGATGATTGAAGAATAAGTTATTTTTTAATTATGCCTTTGAAGCCGACATCTGGAAGCCTAAGCTTAAAATTTTTTTAAATAGGTTGGCTCCAATTCCAAGCCATATCAATATCCTCAAAAACTATTTATGTAACCAATACTTTTGTGTACAATCCCGACACTCCAAAGGTCATGAGCAAAACTGAAGATATTTAGTTATTAGCAGCAGAATTTGTCAGGGGTGTTTTAGCTAAATTTAACAAGATCAGTTGGTTTGCAAAAATGACGTTGTATTGAACTACCAGCGTTTTATATATTTTGCTACCCATAAACACCTCAGACAGTGTTGTTTGGTTAAAATTTGGTATCACGAAATTATCCTACACTGTTTTCAAGTTGACAACTGGTTAATTAAGATTCTATTGATGAAAGGACAAAATTTTCCTCAAATTTGTTTGAGACGACTGGTTGTGCTTTGCAATAATTCTGCTCCCCGTTAAACTGGGAAAAACTTCAACGTACAATTTACAAGACTTTCAAGCGATTATTTAATAAGAAACAAGAATAATTTTTAAAAAAATCTGTACTGAGCGTGATCTTATATTTGTTGCTTTTTCAGGTTTTCCCCTCTTTAATTTTTTTTTCCAACTCTAACCAACGAAACAACTTAATACATCCACATATTTCAAATAGATTAAGTTTATTTGTCCGCTACGTACTGCTAAGACCAAGCACCTTGAAGTAACTTTTTGATGGGGTGTCGAAATTTGTGGATCTCGATGAAATTTGCAGCATATGAAACCAAAATACCAAACATAATTTAGATTCGTCACCGGAAACTAATGTTTCTACTATTTCCATAATTTTGTCTATTACTTTGATCACATCTCCAAAAATAATTTAAACCCAGAGTTCATTACGTCGTTTAATTAAGAAGTTTTATTTTGATTGATATGTCCTTATGAGAAAGTCAGCCTTGCGTCCTTTAATATAAGCATTGAAAGGGCAAGAGTGCAACTTAACCAACATAAGTTAGTTTAATGGATTTTACACTTATCCTAAGAAAGAATAACATTTAAGCTTTTTTTTTTTCAATATATAATATAATCAAGATTAAGACAAAAACTGCGAAGGCGCAGTCATACGGAAAAGACCTCTCAAACATAGCATTACAATGGAGAGGGATAATAGCACTGTATAATCTTAAATAACAATTAAGGAATTAACAATTTTGTGGTATAGGCAGTATCTATGTGTGTATCTTCATTATTTTCACATTCACCCAGCTAGCAACTTTTAACTTGTGACTAACTGGCTGTTTACGCGGTATGCCATATATCTTAAGCAGTACTTATCTGAAGATTTAACCGTTAGACATGGTCGATACACTACGTTAATAATAATAAAATAAACATTGGAATCACACAACATTTTTTCCTACTATGACTAAGTATATATCTTGATCTATATAGTCTTCTTAATCTACCTATACTTTTCTGTATGGATACTGCAACTTGTTTATGCAATCTAAGAAAGTGGTGTAGAATCACCCCCAAATTTCTAGTCTCAGTATTTACAGGCAGTTTCTGGTTTCACAACAACGATCACAACAGATGTATCCGGGTTTAATTGCGGGGCATGTTGTTTATTAGTTATTAGCATCCTGATCTGCAGCTCTAAGGATATGGTCTGCAACACAGTACTGCTGTAGCACAACTATGATCTCTTCTAAAACCACACTAAGTTCCACATATTCAACAATTTGACACATCAACGCATTCTCAATTACTTTGATAAAACTGTTAAAATAGAGATTGGTCTTAGATCTCTGAAATATTTGGATCATCAATTTTCGGAAGCAGAAAGACATTTGATAGTTTCCACTGACTAAGAAATAACGAGTTTTCAATACAGAAATGAACAAAGTGGCAAATGTATTTTAATAGAAATAGGCAGCAAAAGATTATGTATGCCATCTGGACTTACAGATCTCATTTTTATTTGAGCCAAGTAATTTGGAACTTCAAATTCAAGTCTTGCTTTGCTGTCTCTTTTTTCCTTTTTTTTTTGAAGTACTATTTCCAACGCTTTGCGTTTTGGATGGGTATTCGTATAATGGAAATTAATTGCTTTTTGTTGCTGACTTTGCTGTAATATTAAGTCAATGTGATATTGAATTAAATGTTAATAATTAAGAGGACGATTTTTGTGTCCAGTTTAAAAAGAAAACTTCGTATGAACAATGTCCTAGACGTCTCAACTTTTGAGATACAGGGTGCTAAATATTTGAAAAATAAAACATATTTTTTTAATATCTGTAATATTTTGTTAGATATATATTTTTTAAAAAGACTAGTAAGGAATTTCTCATTTCTATTTTGGCAGACATTGATTGTAGGTCAATCCGATGTACAGTTTTGGGTTAAAAAAATAAAAAACACCTCTAATTGTCTATCCGTTTAATTAAAATACTTCAAAAAATCGAAGTACAAATACGAAGTACGTAAAGTTAAATAAATAAAATAAATTTGAATCGTTGTTCTAATTTTTTTTTCTGAAGGATACTAGTTGGTAACTACTAGATACTAGATATTTTGTTTTATTTTTGTTTTTATATTTTATTTGTTTTATTTTATTTATCACAAAAAAAGTTCACGATTTAACCAGTGCGGCGGAGATTTAATTAACCAAAATATTATTTGTTCATAGGCAGCTAGTGGCACGCCACTGATTTCCTTAAAAATGATATTTCCTACTTTTTTTAGTCCATATCACGGTTTTCATTTAAAAATAAAAACTATTTTTTCTGCATGATGTCATATTAACGATATTGTTATGAAAATGCACAGAAAAGGTCAAATTTCATTAAAATATCTAATGTGGAATTATAGATATTTAAATGAAAGAATTTATTTTTGAAAACTTTACAACCCTGTATCTCCAAAGTTAATACCTTTAGGGCATATGTTCATATGAAGTTTTCTTGTTATAAAATAAAACAAAATAGAAAAATCGCCTCTTAAAACAGTAAATTAGAAAACGCCATGTATATATTATTTTTACAAATGTTATTGTTCGCAATTTGTTTTTTCTGCTTTTTTATCATTTAAGTAATGTAACGTAATGTAATCATTTAAGTAATGTGCAAAATTGCTGATTAAACAACGGGAAGAAGACGAAGAACAAAACCGAATTAAGTAAGATTCATATTGTAACGCGTCATTTTTTTACACTCGACAATTTGCATATTGTTTTGTCTAGACCGTGCACGCGAAACAATCGGGTGGAAGAAAGTGCATTTATTCGAGCAATTTATTTGCCATTGTAACGCGTAACATTGAATGTTTAAATATCGGTTAAGTATACCCGCCAAATGTTGGGCGCAAGGTTAACCCGCATAATAGCGAGATGGAAATAGGGAAACGCCACCGGGCAAACAAAGAAAAACGACTGAGATAGTTTGACGTCAGACGTGTGCATACATACATGCAATTTGACCTTGCACTAATATTAGTACGGAATTGAATAAGTACCGGCTAGAGAATCGACGCGATTTTTCGCTTCCTCCGAAAAAAATGTCGGAAAAGTGCATCAAGGCGATGCGTCGCAAGAAAAAAACGCGCGGAAGTAGGATGCTCGACCCGTGCCGCCGAAATAAATTATTATTGTGTAATATTTGATTTGCGTTGACATCTCTACAAGGTTAAAACATTTTTTTATTGATAATGGTGTTTAATTTATAATGCGAGCGAATCGGGTCTCGGAACTTCGCGACGTTTTTGACGGTTAAGGTTTTCGAAAAACTGATTTTTCGTTTTGTGTTTCAGGACTTAAATGCCTTGAACAGAAGCTGAAGTCCTCAAAACAATCCAAAATGCGAGAGGTGAGTTGTAAACGAAGTTGCGGCGAAACGGTTTATTTTTGACTATGCGAAACGTCGGAATCATTAAAATCAAGGTTTCATTAACCAATCGGGTGGCAGCGCGCGATCAGAACGGCAGAATGATGTCCACGGTGGCGATTTAAAAGAGTTTTCTCATCGGACCTATTTTTTTTAGTATGTCGAAAGTATCTCCACAAAAAAATCCCAAAGTTTTGGCAAAAAGTAATGAAAATCAATGAATAAACAATAATGTGAAAAAAACTCTGTTAAAAAAAATATATTCATAATTTCATTCATAACAATTATTTTTGAACCAATTGAACCAAACTTGCGATTGGATTCAACAGGGCAATTGCTACTGAAGGTCGCCTCGTAAAAATAGATTTCTAATTTTTTATTTAAAACTATTGGCTACGTCTTCCAGGATCTTTCGGCCATAAATTTACTTTATTTAATACGTCGTGGTATATTCGAACTTTTAACAAGTAATGCTGACCGAGCTCAGAAAATGATGCAAAAATATTTCTATAAAATTTCTGCAAAAAGCCGTGCCTTCCGTAATTAACGTTCTATTTAATCTAGAAATAAATTGATATAAAAATATATTAAATTAAATTTACAAAATATCATTAATCGGAGTGGACAACTTAAAGGTTATACGGGAAAGTTTAGATCAATTGCTATGAAAAATTTCCGTATTTCATTTTGTAAGACCTAGACACCTAAGTTAAGGTCACACTAATTTTGTTTTTGTGTTTGGACGAGTTTGGTGATTGAAAATAATGTGACAGCTACTACTACTACTCCAACAAGTAGTTTATTAGATTAATAGGTAGATATCATAATAATTATACATGATGGACAGATAATTGATAAGTTAATTACTCTCATAATATGAAAATAGATAAGTATTTACATATTTATCATATTCCGAGTATTCAGATGAACTATAGCCGTTGGAAATAATAAGGGATTTTATAGCTTTTTCTAGCATGTTATCCACTCCCTATTTCAATCCCATTCACTCACTCCATTGTCATTGTCCATTGTCTTTATTTCTTTCTTGCAAGAGGATGTTAAAGTCTCTGATTTTAAAAGTGCCATCTCTCTTGCTCTATTAAAACTGATTTTCTGTATTGAAGTTTATTAGTAACTGAAATTCATTTCCCTCAAAGTTTTCCGAAATTTCTTCTTATTCATGGGTGGAATGAAATTATGCTCTTTTATTTCAGACATTATTTTGTCTTTTTTTAAGTGGAACAAATGTATTATTTTCCTGATAGCAGTCTTTTCACGCTCGTTTATTACAGTTTTTTTTATTCCTGTACTTTTTGCGCACATGTGGTGAATAATATTGATTATAATAATTTTCTCATTTTTAGAAGCTAGTCCGTCTCGCAGTAACAAATTTAGAACCACTAGCCATTTTTAAGAACGAACCTTGACATCAGCTTCAGTAAAGAACTATTGATTCCCATATAAAAAATAAGGCACAAGTGAATTAGCTGCGCGTGATTGTCTACCTGCCATTCTCGTGGTCCCTCATTCAGAGTGCGGTAGATATTCCTACAGAATCGCAAACATCCAAAAAATGACATTTTAGCGTGGAATCGAATTGGCTGATGCAATTTGCGGGCCTGATCATTGCGTGTTAAATTTTATTCCGGAATTTTATCAAAAGTCCACCGGTCGGATGTAGATCAGTCATTCGAAAGGTCAAAAGTTTACCCTTTGCAGAGGACCTATGACCTTTTCGTAACGCTACTGCATACGGTTTACGTGTTAAGGCATAGTTCGCATATTGTCATATTAAATTGCAACAGCCGCAGGAAGAAAAAAATTTGCCACGATATTATCGCTATCCAGAAAAGGCGACGGCTGCATTGTATCAGACAACTAAAGCTAACGTATGAGTATGTAACGTAACGTATGAGTGGCTACGTGTTTCTTTTAATTAGACTACAAACTTTTTTAGGTTATGAGGTTTGCTACAAAAAAGTGACAAAGAAATAGTTTCAGTAAAATGAAATTTCAGTAGATCTTGATAACTGGAGTACCGAAATAAAAACAATATTTTATTCTTTTATTCCTTTGTATAGTATACTATTTTTGAACACAAAGTCATTGTATGTTTGGTCCTTTTTTTTTTTTAAAAATTGAGTGGTAAGGTTAGCTAAAAAAAAGTGGCAAAACAATATTTTCCAGAATTGGAAGATAGATTTTCATTGAATGCAACCCTGAAATGTTTAGTACATTTTTTTTGTGAGGTTTAATTAATGAATGCTAATTTTTACTGAGACACTTTAAAAAAAAAAACTGAGATTGAAGTACATATGTTAAATGGAATATGGACTTAAAAATTGGATTTCCAGAGGCTTGCGTTCATCATCAGCACTTTTTGCAGCAAATAAAATATATACAGGGTGTGTGGATGTTAATACCAAGTTCCTCTTTCTAAATGGAATACCATTTCTTGAATCCATTCATTCATTATTTTTTGTGTCACATATTTAATGGTTCCAAAAGTTCGGTCATTTCGTTCACTTGCAATGATGAATATGTTCTGAAACTTTGAACTGAGAAATTTTATTTATTTATTATTTTATATCTCCCTACAATATTTGCAGTATTAAAAAAGAAAAGATGAAATTTTGCAAAAATATTGTTCGAAATCGTTATACATCTGAAATAAACCAATTTTATTGATTTTATGATTTTGTGATATGACATTTTATGATCAAAAGAATAACAAAACATGTTAAAGACATTAATTTCTTATGTGTTAAAATTGCCTGCCATTAATTTCGTGACAATATGTTAATCGGTTTAAAAATCCTTGTAAAACATTACTCAGCATATTTTCAATGATTTGCCTTATTCCGTACTTGATTCTATATTTTAAATAATCCAAATGTTGTCGGTTTTTTTTATATACTTTTAATTTTAAATATCCCTAGAGGAAAAAATCAAGTGGAGTAATATCTTGTCCACTGTCCACTATCCAATACCATATTTAAATATGAAATGCAATGCACTTGTCGAGCAAAATGTGTATCTGGCATATCAGGTTGATCTGGATTTGAGAAAGGAACTGCTAGAGTAGAAGTTGTACTACAAAACCTTGAATTTTGTTCATTTACCGCACCATTTAAACAAAACGGAGCTTCAACAATAAACTATATCTGACGCCGAAAAAAAAAAAATTTAAATTGCGCATTTCAATCATAGTTTCACAAAACTGTAGTCTGCAGTGGGGATCATTTACACCATAAATGTTTAATCTTGTGTTCTCATTAGCTTTTGGACGATTTGGATGTATACAATCTTTTATATGCCATGTTTTTCTGAATTGTCTCTCAGTTTTACTCACTGTGGGTCTTTCTGGATATTTTGCGGTAAACAAGTTATAAACTTCTTTTTCTCTGGCTCCATATTCACTTTCTTTGCTACCAGAAATGTAATTGTGACAATTTAAGAACTTTACTGGAACTTTCCCTTCATTTGAAAATTAAATGTTTGATTGTTAGTGTTTTGCTCATAAAAACTGCTACACGATTATATGAAATTTGACACTCAATTTGAAAAAGAATTTAAAAAAATTAAAAAATTAAAAAAATGAACGTGATATCGACATCCACCTTTTGACCCACCATGTATATTTTCTATATAGTGCAAAAAAATTTCTTGAAATCCAATAGCAGATTTTTAAATGAATTTGTTCCATAATTCAACTGTTCTGTCCTGCAAATAAAATGCGTTTTTTGTTTGGAAGCGTGGAAACTGAATTTCCCTATATATGGAATTCAAAACGAACTACAAAAGTCATTCGTAAATGTACAGTAACAGTTTTTGTATTTTGCGGCAACAATCCAGAATCGTTCCTGTCGGCCGCCATCATGTTTGGGGCGGAACAAAAACGAAATTGTTCCCTCACTGCAACGATGACGTAGGACGTTACGTCACCGCTAAGGATCCAGTGCGCCTCGCGGCGACTCGCCGAAGGAACTGGATCGATATCCCGTGCATACTGACCCATATTATCCTTTCACTTTGCATGTTCATCATTCTCATAACACTATTATGTACAGTGTTAACTCCCGGATTTCACCTAAGTCGATCAATTACTCGCACAGCTTTTTTAAATATATCCAACATTATTGCGGCTGGCCGTCATTTCAATAAAATGAGCATGAGCGGAACTGTTTTGCAAGATCCAATAATACTAGAACATTATTCCTACATCTTTTATATATTTCTGTGCATGAAACTCTTCAAAAAGCAACCTTTATATATTGAACGTCATTTTATTATTAACTGAATATATTTTCTTACAATTACAATAAAACAATGTTTATTAAAGTTAATTTCAATGTGTTCTTAGTAATCGTTAACTGTTAAAAATGAACCGATTGGCATTGACATTAAAATGTTGAACAAAATTATTTTTTAAAGAAAATGTTACACTAAAAGTTCTGCAAAATTACAAATAACAATTAACATTTTTAGCAAACAAACGCATTCACGAAACATTTTAATTCGTGAATCTTTACAATTTACTTGACCATCTGAAATATTTATAAAATATATTTTATATAAATACCAAAATTCCCAGTTAGTTTCCCATTTTTATTACGAAATTTAAATAATTGTTAATATTATGTTTAAGGAATTAAATTCCTTTATAAAAAATATGGAAAAAAAGTTTTCAAAGTATAGAATGTTAAATAAAAAAAAAACAAATATTTGGCAATGTTGCTTTGTGAACTAGCAAGCAGATTTAGCTCTAAAGCTCTAAAATTATTAAGACCAGTGGTGTATGTAAAATAAAGTGCACTACAAATGTGCAAACAAATGTTCTCAATAGTGAACATTGTTTTAAATACAAATCCTTTCACACCCTGTATCTTTAAAATTCTGCATTACATAACCAAATGCCGCGCAGAAGGTCATTCGCTGCAGAATGTGCAGAAACTTTTCGGTTAACCTGTTATTGTTAAAAACGGAGTCCTTTAAATCGTCGACTTACGCAATTCAAATTTTGATGTGTCTGTAATGTGCCCACAGATAAAATTCTCGACATAACTATTTTCAATACTGCTAATGATGATTACAAGAAATTTTTGATATGAATTGTTTTCTTGCGCTATCGAGATTTTGCAAAAAAACGTGTAAAGATAAATTTGTCTCGTTCTGTTTGTAGCATTCGAATTGCTGTGAATTATGTAGACGACTTTTATGCAAATGAGCAGTGGAATGTTTCGTAAAATTTTACTAACAATCTTGCAGAAGTTTTTTTAGTATGGCTATCCAACAAATGAACCATCCAGTAAAATCACAGTTGAATAATTTAAATAAATAAACAACGGTGAAACAAAACTACCAATATTTAAATTATTAAAAAATCACTTTATTGTCTTCTACTATAACATTCTCGTCGTCATTCAACCAAATTTTTTTGTGGTAAATCCGAAACAAATCTATTGTTTTTAGCAGAAAGCAACTTAAAAATTCGGAACAAAATCCCAGATTCTAAGATACATAGCTATTTTTGAGAAAGACTTGAGATTTCACTGCATATTCCAAAAAGTATCGACTTTAAGAGATAAAATTTTAAAGTTTTGGTTTGGTTAGTATACCCGAAAATACTTCAATACTGTGAAAGGGACCCTTTTATTATTTACGAAGAGATCTAAGCTACGCTAAGCTAAGTGAGTCCAGAAATACCTTTGCCTGGATTATAAATGTTACTGCAAAGTTAGGTTTCAAAATTTTTGCTTTATATGAGTTCTTCGAAAATCACCAGAAAATATTAAATCGAAAATTACTAACGGTTTTAAATATTTTTAAACGGAATTTTGGTACCTAAGCAGTGAAATTAGCAGCTTTGGCCCACCATCCTTGCATCTCGTATAGTTTCCGAGTTGCCAATAGTGCCAATATTTCAGTGATAAAATAGCACTTGTACGCAAACAGATGATTAGTGCCCCACACTGCGGCCTATACATAATATATCGAAGCAGTTCCGTTTACTATATACTATCCCCCCTTACAATCTGCGTGCTCCAGACTGGCTGGAAAAAGTCGACGGTTAAAATAGAACTCTTACTTTCAATACACGGCATCTCGCTAATACGACACAAATATGTTTCCCATTTTCGTGAAAGGAAAGGAAATTGATAGGAGATTTCTGATTCTAGGACTTGATAGAGGAGTCGAACGTGACTTCCAATGAGTTCGACGTTGGCAGCATAGCGGAGGAAGAGTTTGAACTTCATACGACTTATATTGTTCCTGACTTACCGACCGAACCTGATACCCCAAACAGGGCGGAAGCGACTCTACCCCGTAACCTGGTGCTCAAACCATCTCAAGCCCTTTCGGACGTAAGTATTTGGTCCATATAAATGGTTGAATTTAAAACAAATAAGTGTTGTGGAAGAATTTCAGAAGTACCATTAAATACGACTTACATTATAAACAATGTCAATGTCAACAACTAATAACATTGCAATAAGCAAAGAAATAACGCCAGGTAAGTTACTTTTTACGAATCTTCTGGATTCCTCCTGTGTTGAGTCCAGCTTTCTGACATTTCGCCTTAGTGGCTTCTTCAGAGCTTGACTGAAACTGGCTCGTATTTTACTCTGTACCTGCTTATATATTGTTTGAGGGGGCGGAGCTTAATGAGGGACATAAACACACTCTCGGATGACTGATTCCCAAATTGGTGACCGGTAGAGGCCTGAGTCGCGATTAAGATTGTTAGGTTGTTTATAAATTTCTATAGATTCTCCGATTTTTCGTTGGTAGTCTGAGTCGCGATTAAGATTGTTAGGTTGTTTATAAATTTCTATAGATTCTCCGATTTTTCGTTGGTAGAAGAACTGATTACATGCAAGAATTTTAGTTTTATCGAATAAAATTTTATGTCCGTTTCATGAGTGTGTTCGGCAACAGCTGATGAGTTTATTTGTCTTAGTCGTAAGGCTCTTTCGTGTTCTTTGAGTCCAGTTGATATTTTTCGTCCGGTCTCTCCAATGTATTCTTTGCCGCATATGCATGAAATGCTGTAAACTCCTGGCATTTCAAATGGAATTTTGTCTTTGACGTTCCGAAAATGCTGAGAGATTTTTGGACAATTCATATATTTCTTTAGAACTTTTGATTTGTGCTCAGTGATGTTTTGAATGTAAGGAAGGACCACAGTGGCAACTGTAGGATTTCTTTCGGCATCATTGCTATTGTGGTCAATTGTATTTTTTGATGGAGCGCTTAATATCTTTAATGTGGAAATTATTAGAGAGAAGAGCTAGTGTTTTAATTCTGGGTTTAGTGACTCTGGCTGAGATAGTTTTACGGCTCTGTAAACAAGAGAGTCGATAACCGATGATTTTTGAGCTGGATGGTGACGTGACCATGCATTAAGGCATCGGTCTGTGTGCGTAGGAGTTAGTAACACCAATTAAGAGATTCATAGAAAATATACCCCTCATTTACCCTTGGCATAAAAAAGACATATTTTATAATTAATTTTCTTATTGAATTCAATATATCAATCCTCATTTGATTTTTACTTTAAATTAGCTAATATTATAACTGTAATTACCATAAATTACACAATTAAACAATGTGTATTTTTCTAAATTTCACTATACAAAGCTAAGAGCGAAAATCAAATTTTAGTCTGAATTTTTAAAATTTCAGGCCCAGGGAGTTTGGAGCACGGGTTATATCCCACGAGGAACGCGCTTTGGGCCTCTCGTGGGAGAAATCTACGCCAAAGATGCCGTTCCGAGCTCCGCCAATCGCAAGTATTTTTGGAGGGTAAGCGCGCCATTTTGTTAGCGAAAATGTACATATATAGATTTCTCTGGTACACATCCAACAGATGGTATAGAGATTTAGAAACACATCTTTTTAATATTAAGCCGCTATCGAATTGGTTATGGGTTGCCTTTAACACTTGTTTCATTTCTGGTGTAGGTTCAGCTTAGAGAAGGCTTCTATGTTAACAACTCGCCGGATACGAAGGTACTTCATGTAGCTTGTTGTAAAATATAATCGACACTAACCCGTTTCTGATGCTTATAGAAGTTGATCCGTAAGGGTGTGATTTTTTGGATCGTTTTAAAAATTTTTTTTATCAATGATGTATGACGTACAGAGTGTTGAAATTAAAAAAATACTCACTGAAACTTAGATGTTTGAAATTTGGTAGGAGCCCATGCATGGAAACAATTTTATTCGGGTGAACATTTTTTCAAAAATGATCTCTTGACTTGAAATGCAGACAAATATTAACTAATCAATTCAATGGTATATTTTTTATAAAATTATATACAAAAAGGCGCACTCATTAAAATGAAAAATAATAAATTTGTTTAAAAAAATTAAATAACAATTTAGTTATAGCATGTATGTGTTTATATTACTAAAACCAAATTCCACCGTAATTTTAAGGTCTTAACTAATAGTGAAACTCATATATAATTAATATTATTGTACAGTGTGGGCCAAGCTGGATTTTTTGAAATTGGAACAAGTTTGTAACCCCCCGTTTCTGGATGTTAGTGGTTAGTGTTGCTGTAGAAAGGGTCTACGAATTTATCAACTTAGTTCCTCTAAGAAATAAATATTAAAATTTTAATCAACCAGCACTGGCCCTTGTTTAGTTACAGTACAGTAGTAGTAGTACAGTTAAAGCTTTTTTATGATCAGGGCCATGACAAAAATGAGAACCACTTTATTATTAAATTCTGTTTGGTTACTTTTGGTTAGTTTGAACCGTTTTAACAATATGGAACACTATTTTCCAATTTGAAGAAGTTCGTTTTTATTCTGCGATAGGGATTTTGGTGTTGTAAACAGGTCCTTCCTAAATACACAGAAATTGTGAAGTCCTAAGTGGCAAAAATAAATTGACCGTAAAAGACGTTCAAACGAATCAGATGCTTTAGTTTAAACAGTGGTGGCCTACAAGATAGAATGCCTATCAACTGCAAGTGAGAAAAGGATGTTGTTCACCACTTCCACTCGACTTTATCAAAACAAACAATAATTGAAATATCCAATGGCGTAATGTATTTCAAGCACCGTAAGTGCATACAAGTATCTTGAATTAAACATCTACAATAGTAGTCCCTGAAGAAAAGTCAAATTTTTACTAAATTCGTGGAAAATCAGACTGAAACTCAAGACAAGAGCTGTTATTCGCTTAGCTGATTCCAAGAAAAAGCCTTCTAAGCAGAACGAGAAGAATATCGTCATATTTTTTAAGTACCTCTAATGTTTATTAACGTTGGAATAGCATTTTTGTTTCTTTCTTTGTTCAATATATAGTTTTTTGCATTTAATATGTAGGTATTTTTATACCTCTACCTCATATATGAACCCTCTTAAAAGAGAACAAAAAAAGCTATTGATCTGAAAATATGTATAATTATAAAAGGGCCCAAGTTGAGTTTTTTGAAAAATTTGTTCGGAAAACAAAAAACAAGTAAGCAAAACTAAGCACACTACAAACAAAAGAGGTGAAATTTTGCACAAAAAAACAGTCTCTTTGATTTTCTTAAAACTTGGAAATATCGCTTAAGCCCTTCAACTGTGTTAATTTAAGTCTTTATGTCGTCAAAAACAGCTTGAGTTATACAGAAATAGCAATTTCGAGAAATAAACTTTAACATTCATTACGGAGCACCCCTTATGAAATGAATATTATGCGGAAAAAAATATATGTCGAAATTATAGCGTCATAAATTAGAAAAAAAAAAGACGAGCCTCAATACGAAAAAGTGTCCCCTTATTTCAACACGCAAATTTAAGGAGATTGTTATTGTTTAATAGCTTCCTTAAACAAATCCTTTAAACCTTCACTTAGGGCGCTAATTATTAGTGACTACTATTGTTAGCGACTAAAAATTTCATAAAGTTTGAATCTTTTGATTTTATAAATTTTGGGTGCTATTTTAAAAAATTTGCCTTCAGTTCGTCGGTGCCTAGACAACTAATTAACTAAACCATATCCCATTAATACCTTACTTACAACATAGTAACGGCAATGAAACGATTTAAAATTAGACTTCGTTCTTGCAGATATATAAAGATAACGAACTCTACTACTATATTGACGGGTTTGACACTTCCAAAGCAAACTGGATGCGATACGTTAACCCCGCCTACTCCAGCGAGTCGCAGAATCTTATAGCTTGTCAGTACAAGATGAATATCTACTTTTACACAATCAAACCAATACTCCCTAACCAAGAGCTGCTCGTGTGGTACTGCAAGGAGTTTGCAGAACGACTGAATTATCCCATAACCGGCGAGCAGATGCTTCAAAGGATAAGTAAGTATAAAAGAAAAATCGACAACTAAGACTGATGAAGAATTTGTATTATGAAAATAAAATCGAAATAAAGCTTGAGCTTGAGCATTGAATCATAGGTAACCAGTTTAGCGGAGATTTCTGCGTCACGCAAACTTAGTTTGGAGACTGGCCACGAGATGGCAGTAAGCTGCGTTGGCTTAAAGCTCAATCGAAGGCTTTCGCGTTTTGGTTAGTTAGTAATACTCGTTCTTTCAAAGCACCTTTAATATTTTCAAGCGTATAGATTCTTTTCTAAGAAATTATACTATAATCAACAAGCACGACAACTGTCGACAAGGTCATTTTAACTGGACTAAGTAAATAAATACGTTCCTTTATTGCCAACGAAATTTTAATTTAAGTAATTTATACTGCATCAATTGAACTAAATTGTAAATCATAATCATAAAAAATAGTGACAGTACATTTAAATAAATATAATACACAAATTTTATAAAACATGATAGACCACGATGTAGCAACCAATAATAAATTTTGAGAATCAAACTTAAAAGGATATAATCATTTTGCAAGAATACATTTTTGCAAGTTTTAAACTAATTTCAATTTAGTTTACTTTAGTAAAATTTGATATAATTGAGTTCTGAATCCGAGGCAAACTCGGCCGCTTTTATTAAAAAGAAGAAAAAAAAATATCATCTTAGTATTTTAGTTGTTGCTATCCAGACGTGAAGTCTAGCATATTGCAATTTATACTTCTTATCTTTACCAATTTAACAACTTAAAATCTGTAAATCATTAAATCCTTTTGATTTCAACAAATCACGACCATTAATTACAACAAAATTAAATTTTAAAAATTAACAGTGTTGAAGTCCACCAGACAACTGCAGCACTTAAAAATCGATAGGTATTGTTATTGCTTACTCAATCGAAACCCTTCCAATTTTTATTTATTTACCTTTGTTTATATTTAAAATTTTGTGGAAGTTTATTGTAGATGGTAACCAACTAAACCATGAAGCATCTTAACAACATAGCAGTCTTATGTTGCTCTGGTACGAATTTATCGTTAAATCTAGTTAACCTAAAATTTATCCTAAGGCAAGAAGGTGCCAAAGGATCTGAAATGATTTTATGATGTTCCCAAGTGTTGCAATATCCTAGACTTCGTGAATAAACATTTGTCCTTTTTTATTTTATAAATTATAGGCTCGAATTTTCCAATACCATTCACTAAACGATTTTTTTGTCGATTTGTGTCAAGCAAGGTCCAGGCGCAATAGTTAAAACATGATAGCTCAAGAGATTCACATAACAATTTCACAATTCTTTGATCCAAACCATACCTGTACTAATAAATTGACCTTAAATTAAAATCTGCTTTTTTAATTAAAGATTTAAGATGTTGTCTAAAACGTCTATTAGTGTCGATTGTTATATCTACATTTTTCGCAACATTAATAAATATTACTTTAGTGTTGTTTAAGTTTTATAATTAAATTTTTATGTGTAAACTGATAGTATATTTGGAGATCCTATGCATAGACCTAAAATTTCATGACCATGCAACAATAAAGCGAAAGAAGTACTAAAACAAAACAGCACTACCAAAAACGCGTCTCATTTAACAGGACAACAAGTACAACAGTCGTCAGAAGCGATCAGCGTGACGACCACAGAGTCGCCACCAAAAGACAACTACGACCATCAGCTAACACCGACCGAGGGCAGCGTACGTTCCGATGAAGGGTACCACAGCAACGGGTACCACGATGACGTGTTTACGCCGCCCGAGGACTCGAGCGATTCCGATAGCGAAAATAACTACGTGCTAGATTTCAGCAAGAAGCCAAATTCCAAAGAAACGACCGTCATCCAGACGGTAGCTGTCGCGCCGGAAGTGCAGAAGAATGAATACCGGAAAGTGAAAATTAAAATCTCTAAGGCGTACCACTACAAAACGATGAAAGGTTGGTATCGTCGTTAATTATTTTTGCTTATATTCGGCCGACTATAAGAAAAATTATAGCAATGTTCGAGTTTCTGATTTCCCATCCTCACAATGATGGGTTGGTTAGTAGGTAACAAGCAAGATGTGTAAACACAGTAGGTTGATTTACTCTTCCCTTCACCCTATTCCCCGCACCAACCAACTATGTGGTGACGTCACTCGGCGACGATTGCCGAAGGGCATATCAAAAGCTCTCTTTTCAACTTTTTAAATGTTTATTGCGCTCTCCTTTGCTTGTTTATTATTATAAAGAGCTTTAAATACACTTAATTTTATTGCCAGTTATAATACTCATAGTATTAATCATACTATCAAATCAATCAATATACTAAATTTTATTGTATAAATTATTTTGAAAAAATATGGTATTCTGCGGACAAGTACTTTCAGAAGCAAAATACCAGTTCATAGTAATTACAAACCTTGCCTTACTAAAAAACGCTGCCTATATGAATATTTTATTTAATAATAAATTAAAAAATAAATTAAAAAAAAAAAGAAATTCATATTTTGCTTATTGATAATATATCCACTTATTGAGAATATATTTTTTATTAAACAATTTGTTTACCTTTTTAAGCAATCGTCGATCAGTGTGAAGTGGATTTTTATAGGTTATTGTTTTCTCCGACTTTTCGTTTAAATAGTTAACCTTAATGAATAAACTTTATTGCAAAAAACGTATTGCTGAATCCAGTTCAATAAAATGTATTCTTTTTTATTAAGTGATTTTTATGAAATTTGATATTAATTTTTTACTTCTCAAACAAACTTGCACAGACGAATGTAATGCCATAATATTAATAACTTCCCATTTTTAGACATTGCTATTAATAAAAAATCAAACATAACATGGCATTGCATTACGCACTACTATAATGTATTGTCACATCATTCAAGAACAAGGGATTGTCAACTCTCTTGTTAAGTCCGATAGCAACTCCACACCCACTGCTGTTCCTTCCTTACACTTAAAACGTTACGGACCACATATCAAAACTTCTTCAGGAATATACTGTTAAAACCAGATTTACCTTGAAACATCCCGAAAATGGACGTCAAATCTCAACCGATCAAGCTAAAATTCGTACCTGAAATCAATTCTACCAAAGAAAAATCTCTTAATCTATAGAAATCTCTAAACATTCCCAACCGCCACTCAGGTCCAGATAATGTTCATTTCCCTCCAGTATATAAGCAGGTATACAATAGAATTCAAGCTTCAGTTAAGCTCTGAAAAAGCCAGTAGGATGATTGGCGGAACGAAAGAAGTTCGATTCATCAACAACCGACGCTGGAGGAATTCAGCCGAATTGTTTTTTCTTCCCACTCAAATGACGACATTTTTTGTTATCAATTTTCTTTCATTGTCCTATATCCTTGAATCCAGATCTTTAAGGGATTGATAAAATTATAATAAATATCTTCCCAAATTGTAATTCTTTTATTCTGCTGTTACTGCAAACAGCCACTGGAATGGGCTGTAATTCCAGGCATATCTAAAATTTAAAATCATCAGAAATGTGTATTATTCATACTGTTCCTACTACGCCGTTAAGAATTATTGTTTGAGAAACGCATTTTGAACATAAAACGACTTCTCCAAATGTAAACACGATAAATAGTGACGACAGTTGTGTCAATTCAATGGCGACTAGCAACCTTGCCTCGTACCTCCCGTATCCCTTAACAGTTACTCGATATGTAAGCCATCGTTTACGGATCTTTACGTATAGGTTTCTTCACGTTAAATGTTCATTGATGCGTTAATTTCAGGCGACAGCGACCACGAGGCGACCGGCAAGGAATCTCCGCCGCTTGATACTTCAGTACCTGAACCAACCACCGCACTAAACCCTAGAGTTATAACCTCTCCCGCCACGGTTATCGTGATGGACTCCCCGCCACACGAAGTTCCTACCAAGCCGTTCTACGAATCCGAGGTCAAAACGACCAACGTCATATCGAGGTACGCGCCCCCGACGTCGAGCATCTTGGAAAATATATTGCTCCGGAACCGGACAGACAGCAACAATAACGACAGCAATCAGCGGCAGCCTAACGCGACACCTCCTCCCAGTTCACCTACGGAGATGGCTTACTCTTACAAGAAGAGCCACAGATACGGAACGATACCCTGCAGTCCAGACTCGAGTTCGAACATCCAGACGGGCATTCGTTCGCCGGGGACGATGTCGTGTAAAGTTCAATCCTCCAGTCCGGTACAAACGACAAGTGTTTACGTGAACGAGGCTTATCAGTCGAACGTTCAATCGGGAGGCTACTACAGCATCTACCCTTCACCGACCGGTGTGGCTCACGGGAGTGTATCACCAACGTCTCACGTATACTCACCACCGCTGACCGCCGGTTACGGCGCTCACAACAACAACAACGGCTCCCCGAATCTGATGCTTTCCACCAGCCACATACTCAATAGTAACATCTCGCATCACCTGTTGACGCCACTGTCGCCACTCCAAAACCCAAATTCGAGATCGCCGAACTGCAATAGTCCCGACAAGTACGACATTAACGTCATCTCGAGCAATCCCGCGAGTCCGACGGGACAATCGAGGGGATACAGGAGTCTGCCGTATCCGCTCAAAAAGAAGGACGGCAAGATGCATTACGAATGTAATGTCTGCTGCAAAACGTTCGGGCAGCTGTCGAACTTGAAGGTCCATTTGAGGACTCACAGCGGCGAGAGGCCTTTCAAATGCAACGTCTGCACCAAGTCGTTCACTCAACTCGCTCACCTCCAGAAACACCACTTGGTGCATACGGGTGAAAGGCCGCACGAGTGCGGGATATGCAAGAAGCGGTTCTCGTCTACGTCGAATCTCAAGACTCATCTTAGGTTGCACAGCGGTCAGAAGCCGTACGCCTGCGACTTTTGTCCTGCCAAGTTTACGCAGTTCGTGCACTTAAAGCTGCACAAAAGGCTGCACACGAACGAGCGACCGTACATTTGTCAGGAGTGCGGCAAGAATTACATAAGCGCGTCTGGATTAAGGACCCATTGGAAGACGACGAATTGCAAACCGAACAACATCGAGGAGGAGCTGAACGGAGACGCTTCGCCGACTGGGTATTACGAGTACCCTGGCTCTGATGTGAGTTTGGGTGAGTATATTAGACTAATTGTTAGTCTTAGTGTGCCTTTTTTTGATAGTTTTGTCTCATTATCATAAAATGATTTTAAATTATTTTTAATAATTTGCTTCAAACCATAAAAAAAACGAAAGAAATGTGCTTACAAGAGTTAAAATTCGTTCAACGCGTTCTTAGTTTAAATGACGTCCGCGCTCGTATCACATCAAACATTTTAATAATGATAATAATAAATGATTTCTTTTGGTCAAAGAACACAAAATGAAATAGAGGAACATAGAATTGAAAAAGAAGAGAATACAAAATAATACTGTAAAGTACACAAGCAAACAAGAAAATTGACCAAGGGTGAAGTTTAGCCTTATCAAGGATGAAGTACCATTCCTACACAAAACTAACCAGACGAAAGTCATAGAAATTTACGATGTGGGCTATATTTATTTCAAATTAGAAAGAATACACTTTTTATTGAAGAAAACGAAACGTGAAATCTGGTCTGGAAAATTTATAGAAATATTTTTGATTTAAGGTTAATTAAATTATAAGCTTTAACAGCATAGGAAAAGCATTTCTGCATAGAATATACATATGCAATAAGAGTTTTGGTTAGTTTTTGGCTTTTACTAGATATTAAGTAATATTTTTTGACAATGAATTTGTTGTGACAGTTTTTTTCCACAGAATTTTAATTTATGTAATAATTACGAATTATATAAAAGGAAGTTTCGTAGAATAATAAAACAAGTTCAGTAATAGCCATTTCAGAAATTCTGCAAAAATTCATGTGCTTGCATAAGTTGTTGACATTTTAAGTAATCCATTTTTAGGAAAATTTAGATATATTTTGTATATATTTTTAAGTTAATAAATAAATAAAATCGTCATAAACTGGATTGATTTATTTTTCTAGTTCACTGCTATCACCATTTCACGAGCTTATATCTATTATATCTATTATTATATTATTTATTAAATCTCTTGTCTTGAATTGCATTGCATGCATTGATGTTAAACACTTTCTATGGTCCTTTTTGGTTGTCTGTGTGGTGCTTTACTACGATAATATACTGGATTTTCTGATGTATTCATGTCGTGCAAGACTTCTGCCGGATCAGAAATAGACAGTATGTGTAGTGCGAATGAAGAATGTACTTAGCAGACTTTCCATCAATCATAATTTTCACAAGGTATGAAATATTTTTTGTTTAACTGCTTCTCGTATAGTTTTCATTTCATTTCATGCAATACCTTTTTGATAAGAACAAACTTGTGATATATGCCTTGCAGGTGGATGCCAATTAATGTATAAAATGCCGGAGACATTTATAACTAATTAAATAAACTTAAATTACAAAAAATAATAAATTCATCACTTAGTCGGAAGTATCACTGACACTCTCTGTGTTCAAGCTTAAACACTTTTTGCGCTCTGATTCGCATGCCTAAAAGGTGGCATCACAACTACTTATTTCACTTTACTTGACTCATATGGGAGGCTGGAGTGGGCTGTATCTCACCAAATCTTGCACACTGTATTTTGACACTTTCGGCATCCTTACTGTTCCTTTTCTATAATAACTCTCGCTGGTTATGTTCGTGAAGAAAAATCCTAGCCTTCTTAAAACAACTCTGATTTTTATGTCATCGATAACTGTCACCAGGGACAGGGCTGGACTGTAAACAATGCATGTCAGTCTTTGTCTGGCGGCGTAATAGGGGTTGAGAGCAGAACGAAGATTAAAAGAGTGGTGATCCTATACTTACTGTACAAGTGATTTTAATATTTTAATTTTGAATTTTAATGGTATTCATATTGTCAATGGTCTTGTTGATTTATAAATTTTTGCTATTGTGTTTTGTTTGTAACCTGCAAATGGGGTTTAATTACGCTAGGTCAAGTGATGCCGCGGTGGTGTTTCATTGTCATTTAATATTATCGTAAAATTCAGATGAATTTCAGTGGTAGTTTCCGAGTAACAACGTATTTCAATTTTTAAGAACAAAAACACCTCGAATTAAAGTCGCACTAATTTCGACATAATAATATAATAAAAACATGTCCCTATTTGCAATACAACTTCACTTGTAAATTTGGGTTGGGGTCTATAGAAATAATAAGGAACTTTATAGTGCTTTCTAGTATGTTATCACTTTCCCACATTCTTTCCTCTATTTCAATCACATGTTGGACACAATTTTCTTACAATCCACTGTCTTCGTTCGCTCTTGCAAAGAGTTGTTACGCGCTGCTACAAACTCTTTTACTAGCACCAGTACCAATTCAATCATCTATTATTTCAACGTTAAAGTTTTATATATTTTTTATGAGTGGGAGATCGCCAGCAGTGAGATCAGTGATGGCTGTCTTTCTGCTAATTGGAGTTCCTCTAGGCAGTAATTTATTGTATTGTCTCACTTTTCTAAGGCGCCCAAATAAATGTTATTTTCATCAGTATGCTGTATCAGTATACTTTTCTTGAATGGTACTACGCTTGATTTGTAAAAACTTAACAGTCTTCCTTGATAGTAAGCTTTTTTTGGATTGTCACTTCCCTTATTTCCTACATAAGTCCTATAGTAAACTGAGAGTAGAGAGCAAAAGTAAACTGAGAGTACACGTAACTCTCTGATACTCTCGCCATTGAGATGCGGACTTTGTTGTACTGTAAGACGGAAAGACCAATACAGCTTACAAAAATTGCAAAATTGATGTCTCAGGTACAGCTATGGTCTGCGTAAATTTGACTATATAAACCGGGCACTCAAGTGGTGGTTAATTGTGTCTGAAAGTTTTTTGTACATTTGTCTACGTTAGTGTATAAAATTACTAGGTACGGAGAGTTTTCGACTTCTCTATTATTGATTAATCAGGATTAGTGATATTTATTTATCACAGCTCGTTACCGTAACCATTTCTATGTTCTATAGCACAAATTCGTTTCGGAGCTATTTTATATATAAAACAATTAAAACTTGGAACTCACTTGTACTCTATGTAATTGCTTGTTTATTAACTTCTGCATTCAAAAAGTAATTAAAAGAGTTGATGAAATTACTTTTTTTTAATTTTTCTTTATTTAATTGTTTTTGAATATATTCTGCGTTTGTTTACAGTGTTTGTTAGTTTTTTGTTCTTTTTTTAGTAATAATTTTTTTTTATATTTATTTTCCTTTGAATAGTTTTAAAATCGTACTATATTGATTTGTGAATTTAAGTGGATTTAAGGGCTGCTATTAAGATTCTTTAGTTTTTTTACTATATTTTGTTTGCAAATTTCTGCACTATTAGGCCTGTGTTACTTTTAAAGTGGTACATATATTTTTTGTATATTAATAAAGCCTATTTATTATTTTTCTTATTATTCTATGAGGCTTAATGCATAATTGATGTGATGGAAGGCGAAGTGCCGTTATATTTCTTTTTGAAGCAATTTTGTCGCCAAAATATTTTGCAACAAGGAGTTTCTTTCAAATTTACAATATTCTTCTACTTTAAAGTAAGTCAACGAATTTCTTTTTTTTTCAAGAGAACCTGGGTATTTTTTTTAAATTTTCTTGTGTGCCATAATTTATGACTATAACAAACCATTAACCTTTCCAGTTCAATAATTATTGATAATTCTCTAATATTAAACAACCGCGTGTAGGTCGCAAAGTCCATTTTTATAAAATCTTAAAATAATTGAAGAAAAGAAGAATAAACAGTGACCTCGGTAGTTTATCTTACAGGCGCCATGGATATAAGGGACGTTCACGAGGAGCCGAAAGATGGGTTCGATATTCACACCGCGCACGCGCTGAGTCATTCCGCTCTGCAGCCCAGCATGGTGAGGCAGATGTCCCCGGGTCTCATACAGTCCACGGTCCAACGAACTCCCCAAGCACTACACGGGAAGGAAACGAGGCCCACCGTGATCGAGTCCTCACAGCCTCACATTATAGAATGTACCTAAGATGTTTCCTGCTCATTAGCGTATGGATTGAATAGGGTTTTTTTATGTTTTAATTTATGTATTCGCTAATCGGAACGCGCGTATGTTTTCGCAGATTCTGAGAAAATCTTTTATCGTCCTCTTTCTTCGAGTCAAAGCCTGATGATTACTTCTTTCGGCGGCAGAAACGTTTCGCTTTTCATACTCGTGATTTTACTATGGAAAACCTACTTTCCATTCAACCTGAATGTTTAGCATGGGGTTTATTACTTCAATATTAATTCATTTTTAACCTACGGAGAGGCAAAATTTTAACTTGTGACAGGTTAGGGAAACTGTCGCTTTATGTTTCAAAAATTCTTGCCCGAGCATGGCATATTTCAGTGTTTCACGGAGATAGCCTAAGCCTCCTCTCCACATTGTATTCTAAATCGTTTTAAAATTTGAGGCGGCAAATTACTCTAGCAAATTCGTTTGCTCAGAAACGTGTAAGTATATTCAATTAAAAAAAAAAAACAGTAAGGAAAAAGGAAAGTGACAAAGAGCGTTAAAAAAATGGGTAAGAAGATGTATTCAGCGGAGATCTGCTTCGGATGTATATATGAAAAGCTGCTCTCTGAATTGAGAATGGAAACAAAAGAAAATTTATTGTCATTAAACAACAGAAAATTTCGCTATTGCTAAATCTAGATAAGTAGACATATTTATTTCACTTGTAAATGTGCAAAATACTGAAACAGAGATTTCCAGACTTTTTTTTCGTCTTAGACCACTTTGAGAATTGGAACACCTGCAGCTTCATTTATAAATATGGAATGGCATGTTTTTACAAGTAACAGTTTTTCGTGGACCCCCGAATTGTGGTATCGACCTAGACTACTATGGCAATAAGGTGTTAAAATAATATCAGTTGAAAAATATACAAATACATGCAGTATAAAAGGGCAAATTACTAATATACGAAAAAGAAATACGCAAAAGAAGCATACAAGCAAGTGTACATAAGTTATTAAGCAAGTATTTATCTCTTAAAGCACAGGTCGAAAAAAAATCTGTTTTGTTGACAGGTTTTCAACCTAGAAAATATAAGCTCTAACAAGTTTTTATTTCTTATGTTATAGTTGCGTTTCTCAGAGATTCTTTGCCATTGTGTTATATTTTTTCTTGCGTAAACTAAAAGGGATGTACATAAAATGTAATAGGTAATTTTAAGGCGCTTGAACGGCGCCATGATGTTCTTTTACTGAACTTCGTATATATATAACTACTTTTTTTGCGGTATCAGTGTTTGATCCACTTGGAATGCATTTTGTGGGTGAATAATTGATTATGCTATTATAAATTGAAAGAGTCTGAAATAACCAAGGTTCACAACATCTAAGGAAGCGGTTTTGCCTATATTCTACAAAAGAAATGAATGAAAGTCTGTGCCCAAATGCCCCAAACATTTTGTTGTCCCTATATTTTCAACAGATTGCCCTTTGACTTCCAGCAACTAGCTAGAATGTCTCTTGAGGTTTCTTGAAAGGAATTCTATAACAGTCTTTGTAGCGTTTCAACTTATACTCCAATTGGGTACATATCTGGGCTTTTCTCCAAAGGCTTTCTTTATTTTTTTGGCTGATACCGCGCTTGTGGAGCCAAAATAAATCTCTCTAAAATTAAATCTTAAACCAATTGGAGAAAGGTCTGGTCACCTGATGGCGGAGTGCCATGACAATATGTAAAATTAATCTATTATAAATTTTAAAAATCGCATTGCATATCGAGTTTAAAGTTTAAGCTTACCAGTAGCAGCTAATATTAATTTTAAAGCATCAAAGAATTCCAATGTTTTTTTGTACAATTCAGTTGTATTCGTAAGTTCTTTTGTGCTAAAATGCGCTCTACTTTTGACTTTAGTTTAAAACTCTTTGGAAAGTACATTCAGTATATCTGAGCATAGTTAGTAAATTTTAATTTATAAAAAAACTTTTACATTTTAATTTCACAAGTGCTTACCTTAGTCGTGCGCATCATAAGCTCTAGTGAGACCAAATAAATTGTACACACTACTTGAAAGTTCCAGTTTTTTCGGAATGTGCAAGAGAGAAAATGAACGAGAGTTCCAATACTACAACAACTTCAGTTACTTCTTAACATTAAGTTGTGGATATCTTTTCCCTAAAAATAGAAGAAAATAGTGTAAACCTTCATGATGGTGGGTATTAGCTTTAAACAGAAGTGTGTTTGTGAGGGTAAGGAGTATAGCAAGTAAGCGACTCGCCGCCTGCAAGTAGCCGCACACATTACTCGCTACTTATCATGTACTTAAATCCCATATAGTGATCAAGTGGTCAAGTACTTGGCTTAAAAGTAAAAATGGATACGAGACTTTAAAAGCGCCTTCATTTTCGTTTCCATGGAGCTGGCAAAATTCAGTATGGTAATAGTGATGGAAGAAAAAAATACATAGTAGCTCGTGCGTTTTTCCGTTCAATGGTAAATGTTTTTTAGAAGTTGCAATAATTTATGTCTGACCGAAGAAAATGACTGAAATGGAAATTGGGCGATTTTTGATCTTCATTTACAGCTTATAGTGACTTTGCAAGAACATACCCGAAACGTAGGGATCCGATTGCGAAATTGTACTGAAACATTGTTTATGTTCGAGATACTCAATATTTGTTGACTCTATGTATTTATTTTAAATAGTATTTATTGACAAACTTGTTAGGCGATAGGATTTCAATGGAGACACCCGAATTTTTCAATTTTAGACTGATTACGGAAAAGCAATATGGTGTAACTTTAATGTAACTTGCACTAAATTTTCTAACGGTTGTTTTTTCTCGCCTGATTTGCGAATTTACGTGTCCTAGAAAAGGTAGTCCAAGTTCGTTCGTTTTACGTTTGTACAGGTATACCTAGTTTTTGTATTGAGTGTGTTTAAACGTGCATGTGTGTGTAAAAAAATATTACGGGGCACAGTTGATCCTCGAAACTTGGTATAAAACGCTAGAGTGATACTCACATTCAGTATGATAAATGTACCAAATAATATTTATTTCCCGCCAAGGAGTTAGATGTTCAACTGTACAGGGCGATTCGCGACGATATTTATTTAACTATTTTTTTTTATTTTTCCTTGGTTTTCCGTTAATGTCACTTAATTTTTTTTTATTATAATTTCAACACTTTGGGCAGTCTTGTAGTATATGTTTAATTGCAAAAAAATATCGTGTTGCTTTGAATGTAATTTTACTATTTTCGGTTTGGCTTTGATATATTAGTAGATGCCTGAGGAGAGTTCAGACGAACATAACCTAAACAAAGGTAGTTCAGCCAAACACACGTATGTGGCGTAATACGGCATGGATGACGCTGCATTTAAAATACGTAAGTGGCGCTGTAATACAACACGAGGGATGTAGGTAGCAAATACTACGTCGCATGTGCCGTATTACTACGTACATGTTTTCATCTGAAGTCCTTTTCTTTATTTTATGTTCATCTGATCTTCCTTTATGCATCTACTGATATTTATTTTTCGATTTACTTATACTTATTTTAACCAGTAGAACCAGATTGAAGCCTGTTTTTCACAAATGACGGCTACTTTTATCACGTAATTCAAAGCAGCCCTCATCAAATTTACTTAAAACATAAAAAAAAATCTTAAAAATTGGGAAGTTCATCTGGTATTCCCTTTTTGCTTTCACCAAATATATAAATTGGTAAGTTCGTCGCGAATAACCCTGTAGTTACATATATAGGCGCTACAAAAGTTTCGGTCAAAACGCTTTTCTGTCGAAATAATGATATGCCTTTTATATTATAGTAACTATATAGATGCTTCGCTCATCTATAGAATTTCTTCAGCTCGTTCATCACAAAGCAAAGAAAACTTTTTGTTCTTTCACGAGATAAAAGTCAGTATTAAGTTGGTTCAAATGAAATACGACATGGTTAGCGACCATTTTATTTTGTAAAATCGTATTTTTGTATATTTCGCGTTCATGTAAATATTTCCTTTTAGGTACCTTCTGGAAAATTGATGTAAATTTCTGTAAATTGTATATGTTTCGTTGACAGCAGGACGCCTTGAAGTTGTACATAACATTATTTATTGAACATTTCTCTCGGCTTATCGGGGTTTTGTTAATTTTTTTACGGTTACGTTTTCTTCCGATCGGTAATAGTTGTACATCGTTTTTACATTGACGAAATATAATTTCTCTCACTTGTTCAACACGACATGCAATAGTATAATCTAGTTATTACATAAGCGGTATGTACTGTGTACAAGAGCAGATTTTGTTTTTGTTATTTAAGTTTGCGGCTATAAGTTATCGGTTATTTCTGGATTCCACTGAATTGAGCGAAATTTATTTTTGTTTTAATCAGATAAGAAATAGTTACATGCACTTAAATCATAATCGTTATTGATACAGATGTACTGATCCGGTGTTATTAAGTAGAGCAAAAGGTTTGGTGGTTTCTGTTTTCCCTTCCGTTTCCAACATAACGACATGGTTTTCAAAATATTTTGGTATTCATGCATGTAAAAATGTTCATATGACTATTAAACTACAAATATAGATTTGCCTTTTATTTTCCCTGATATTCGTCGAATATATATAAATACATATAAACTATTATGTATACTGTACAGATAAATAATATAAAAACATACTTGCCAATGTGTCAACTGTTGTTTCATTCGTACCACTTATTGGCAATGAATTGAAGTGCTTCATAAAACTCTCATTTTATAACAAATTTATCATCTGCAGCCTGGCCGCTTTTGGATTTTTTTGTTTTCTATGTATGCTTTGAAATTGACATCCGAGACTATGGATTTTATCGTTAACCTCTTGAGCGGATATCGCCATAACTTCTGATACAGCATCAACGGAGGCTTTTCTAGTATTCCGGTTTTTATATTGCTCTAATGAGCAATCCCATAAATTCGCACGGGATTCGTATAGTTCAATTGATTCTACCACAATCTTTTCTTTTACTACTTTTTTTCTGATTTATTATTTCATTCATTGTCCCAATAAACCAATTAAAAACAATAATCAACGCAAGTTTCTTTAATATATAAACACACCGGACACACCGATTTTGTTTCAGAAAGAACACCAAAACTCACGTGCAGCAAGTGAAATAAATATTTCAATTGAAACAATGCTTATATGGTGTATACAAGTTGATACTTGGCATGAACAAATGTCTGTTGAAATATTGTGTCTTGAAATTTTTTACAATATTTCACGCAATTCTATAGTGTTTCTACTGTGAAACATGAAACTTTTGACTCATGACACAAAAATTTCATGAAAAACTTTAATAGTGGATTTGCACCTTAACATTTTAAATTTGATTTGAAAACTTTGTAGACCAGATCTCTTTTTGCATTCATTTATATCTCTAATAAAAAATATCAGCTCTTTAAGAAGGCTCCGAATTAAAATACATTATTGATTATTAGTAGTCTTTGAGGCAGATTGTATATGATCCAAATGCTTCTGCTGTATCTTTCTCTTTTGTAAACTTTTTACTGTTTTAATTCGTTTCTTTCTGAATTATCTGAAAACTGTATTTTTTTATTTAATTTAGATTATTAGATTTGAAGACATCGAGGCAATTGGGTTTTCTTAAAGTTCTTTATGTTTCGCTTTTCGACATTTTGACATTGACATTGCAAATTGAAAAAATACTGGATGCTCCAGGTCTATTTTTACAACAGCTTCAAAACATTTTTCTACCATGCAATCAATATTGCTAATAACAAGAACTCATTTCTGACAGTACCTAACTGACTACACCTTATCAAATTGCAAAAATTTACAAGTACTTTACCTATTTTTCAATTTTGGTCAGAAATATTTAGGTCTCTAACTACTACAGTATCAAAATCATATTTTATTAAAATTGAATGAAATGAATCGTACAATTCTAATAAACTGGTATAATATAAACACCAAACAGTAAGGAAATTTTTGAAGATATCGGCTCTATAAACTACATGCTCTGGTTTGAGTTCACTATTTGTCCGTAACATTCGTTACGTTACATCCTCAAGTCCGAGCTTTTAGTACCGGGTGTTTTCCACGTACATATGCAACATCTGCATCCATCGTTTCCTCATCGTCCAAGCACAAGCAGCGCACATCATCATTGGCGATGCCGACCTTGTTCATACGCTATTTGGGGCTACAGCCTCTACTGTCCAGGCTTTGATTGAATTTACTGACGATTGGTGTGATATAGCCAATATTGGCTATGGACCTATTGGTGGCGCTTCTGCTTCTTTTCAAACTAGGATATTAGCTTTTTCGTTTTCTACTAGTGTTATTGCACTTTAACATGGACAAAGCCTCTTGGCGGTTTCATACAGTCTTAGAGGCACTCAAGGATAGGACAAGTTGCTTCTTTTCCAGAATATTTGCAAATATATCAATCGCATGCACTTCCTGTACTTACTCTGAGCACATTCGTCCCTGCTTGGCCGGTACATTTCATAAGGGGGGTTTATCATTAATATCTGTCAGCTACTTCATGACACCTATTGTTTTAGTCATCTTCTTTCAGTACCTCTACCGTTCGGATGTTCACGATTATTTCTGTTGTTGATGAAGAGAACTAATCAAGGTGTAAGTTTCTTTAACCAAGAAATTCTTGTGCTGCTGCTTCTGCTTTTCTCGGAATTTTCCTTGTAATATTTCTTGCAGTAATCTGCATCTTTGCTCGTTGCGCATTACGTGACCCAGATATTAGAGCTTCTTTATTGCTATTGTATTGATGATCTCCGTCTTTATTGCATTCTACGAAGCACTTCTTCATTGATCACACGGTCTACTCAAGGGATTATCAGTATCCTGATTTACTTTATCGTTTAACGCGTTTAATCGTTTGGTGGTTGCTTCTGTCGAGGTTCATGATTCTATAACATAAAGTAGAACACAAAAGACATAGCAGTGCAGGAATCTTATTTTTGTATGGGGTGTGAGGGACCGGTTGCTAAAGAATTATATGTCCTGAATGTATTTGCTTTGGATCTCTGCTTGTTATAATAAAAGCACTACTTATTTTTTGTTTATTTATTTGTTATTAAATCGATTCTCCTCTTGAATATTACTCTAACTTAAGGGTCTCAAATTGTGTAATATAGCAATTTAAGTTCTCATTTTCACGTTAATTTTTGTTAATACTACCCTGCTGAAACTATCCTGGCTGCTCATTAAAACAGTGTGTGAAACCAATTGCATCCCTTGACAATGTAAAGCATATTCTGTCACTAAAATGTGTTCTATTTTTGCTTAAGCTTTTTTTCCAATGACCACATGACAACATATTAAGAAGGCAATGGGGAACATTTTTATTTTGGAATTAATATTAACATACTGTTTTAAAATTTTTAAAAATGAATATTCATATAAATATATCGGAAAAATATCCTTTTTGTATTTTATTTTTTGACAAACTGAAATGCAAGGAAATTGATAGTGATTATCATAATCACAAAGAATTTAAATTAATGAATGCTTCAAACAAGAATTAATTCGCACTCATTGGTCCCTAAAAAAATGCGCTTTTGTTATTGGCCCGACAAAATGCCTAAAAAACGAAGGGCCCGCTTCACCCCGTTTTTAGGAACCAATGAGCGAAATTCCAAAGAGGGGAAAGCCGAGCCAATGGTAACAAGGTGACTCACTTCGAGTTTATTATGCGATATTGATTTTTGCGAAATTGCGGACATTTATCAGGGTCGGCAAACCTTTTTAAGTGGGGTTCGAGAATATAGAGAGACCACAACAAAAATATCCAACGGGAATGGTATTGAGAAACGTTCTAAACTCACGGGAAAAATAATTAAGAGATATCACCCTTTCCAATAATAATAATAATTTAATAACAATCATAATATAATTTATTCAGGTAATTTCGACAAGGAAAATTGCAAGAAAAGACAAGAGTGCCTCGCCCAGACCTATTAGTTTACTGATGTCTACGTTTACCTTTATGGTTTAACTAAAGTAACATTTCATATTCATTAAGTACCTGATCATGTAAAGAAAGATAAAAAACACCTATACCTACCTCTTTAATAATCCTAATCTAAAAACGAAACTACTTTTGTTACGTTTTTGAATGTAACAAAGTTTTTAGTTTATTACGAAAAGAATTTATTGTCGCATTTTGAAAAGAAGACAGCAAGTAATTATATAGTTCAGCCAAGTCGTAATTGAAGAATCTTTGAAATATACCAGACCAGTGACGAGGAGTATTGCCTACTTTAAATCTTAGATTTATGGTGTTTAGAGAAACAACAGCGGCGAATCAAGCGCCATGTCTTCATATTGGCCCAAGCGTCATCCTTCAGCTTGGGGTTGACGGATTTTCCACGACGGATTCCGTAAATGAACTTCAATCAACCTTTTTGAGTTTTTTAAATACGTGGCGAAGAGCTATCCATCAAGCAAGGCCCATACAAGACATCGCAGTGGTTGATCAAAACAGTGGCAAGAAAAGGCGATCATTTTGAAACAATGGTGAATTGTTACATAAGTCAATAGAAATAGAAATCTGTATAGGACCTAACGAAGCAGCTTTCATTATATCGCATTGATTTGATTACAAAATGCTTTGCTTTGTTTCGAGCGTTACCACGATCCTCTTTTGTTATATGGTATATAGTGTATTATTGTTGTTTATCATGGTATTTTTATTAATTTTAACACGATAAAAGTTGGACATATGTGTAGTGTTACGTACCTTTATTTATGTAAACATTATACAAAAAATACGTTATACGTAAATGAAATTCTTAAAAATTTCTAATATTTTTTTATAATTAGCGGGTCGGTGCACGATGTTTATTTTAAAATGTCAGTGAAAAATGGCGAAACAAGTTTATCCACCCAGAATGAAGTATAATTTTGTTACAACCTTGGAACATTCAGAGCAAGTATCAAGAATTCGAAGAATATATATTTATAAATAAATGAACTACGCACTCTATTATTCTTATATGTAACATTGTTTTCTTAAATCTAAATATAATTTGACATGTTAATTGTATAAAATGATGCCACATGCCACTAATATAAAGCTTGTGTTAGTATAAGGGGTTAAAATGAGCCTTCGGGTTTTTAGAAAGAAATATATTTTTTTAGATTTGCACTCAATGTGCCTTTTTTCCCGTTCCAAGTTTAGTTATAAGAAAAATATTAAATTTAAATCTGGCTAGAGTACCATAACATAGGACATCCATTTTGAGAGACCTTCTAGATACAATACCTCTAAAATGTTTAACGAAAAACCCGGTAGTACTAAAGAAGATATATTTAGTTAAAAAAACACTACGTAAGTATGTAAGGTCTGAGTTGAGTTGAATATTTCCGCATTGTAGTTGTATATTTCTAGAGTGTAACTGAGTTGCTTTCTTTTGCTCTGTTCTATATTGTCTTTGATTTCTGTTTTTCATTTTCAACAGCCTTCTGCATCTTCATCACCAGTTGGTCTTACTGTTGGGATATTACTTATTTCACCAAGCACTTCATTCTTGGTACCCCCTAAGACTCCTATAATAGTTAAAAAGAACGATATTGGGTTTATTGACTCGGACCCTATGCACAGCAAGGAATGCATAGTTCGAATATGTACGGTAGTTGACGTTCTCAACCACGGTTTCGACATCCTTTGAAGCAAATGGCAAAATTGTCGCTCTTCTAGAAATGCCTTAGATGAAAATAATATCCCCGAAGAGCATAACTATTTTTAGCATGCACAGGACACGCAGAGAGTAAATGCATAAGACTATCTGGGTGCTGTCGACAAACTCTTCACCTTGTGCTGGAATGTGTGAAAACTGACTACGGTATACTAGCGTGTTTATGACTCCCGCCATCGTGGCAGACTCCGACATCAGACTAGCAAACTTTAGAAAAGATTGAGTGACCGAATGAAAGTTTTGGTAGAACAATCCACGCTGTGATTTATTAGTGTGACTTTCTAAAAGTATACGTTATCCCGCCCCTTAACCCGAATATTCGGTGCTAACCTGCTAAAAAAAATGACCGTCCCATCGTTCGACATGAATCTAAGACCAAACTTCTCGACACTGACGATCTACTGATCTGTTACCAGGTGAAGCAGTGAGTCAGCCTTATTAACCCATATTATCTCAAGCAGAAAAAAAATTAAAAAATACTTTTTTGCTGTGAAATTATTTATTGAAATACTGGTGCCTAAACGAACAACTGGGAAAGAACATTAAATAATGCTTTGGGGCACATAAAATGGAACATATAATGTATATATAAATATACAAAAGAAAGTTCAAATTCGACAGAAAACAGCTAAAAGTAGATTGTTTTCCAAATAGAACCTGATTTGATACAAAAAAAACGCATAATATTTTATGGTGCGTGAGCCCACCACTGGTAATACCCGGCTTCATTTTTGGTGATATTTTACAAAGCATGAAGTATGTAAATGTACATTACATTTATTACAAACGTAAATTGTGTGGCTGTGGCAGATTCTACATCTCATTCGGGCTTTATTAGCATGAACAATCATGAGGTGACCTTGATTATCATTTGAGTAATGAGTGCATTTTTGGTATCTCATAAAGATTGTTGAAACTTGTACAACGATTATGAACAGTTTTCCGGGTCGAAATTTTTTTGCATCAAATATTCCGGGTATTCAGTTTTGAGCATCTTATGTAAAAATGAGGCTAGATGAAGTTTTCGTCTATCGGCCATGTTAACCCAGCGTAATTCTTCCAGGTTTTCACTAACATGGTCCTTGAGTTAAAGATTAAATATGAAGCGCATACATGAGTTTTATATTCTTTGCAATTTGGCTTTAGTGGGCAAACCCAAAAAGGGACCAAATACAAAATTGCAAAAGTTCGTGTGGTACAAGACCAACGCTTCAGGCAATAATATTTTATCTTTTTGTTAAGAATATATTTATTTTTGCGTAAGTTCCTTACGTTTTATTATTAAAAATAATACCCTAGATTTGACATTCGGAAACAACCGCTATTTTAACATTACTGATTGAAATGTCAAGCAGCTTACTAGCATAATATTTAAGAGGTCTGAAGTAATTAATGGCCGACTTATTTATTAGCCCCTTTTCATTTTGGGAATATCTTAGCCAAACTTCCATTTAACTTTTTTAAAACTTCAGCAGCCTCAGATATAGTTGAGTAATACTAAAGCTGTCCATTCTCCCTTAACGACGCCCAGCAGAACATCATCGAGAACTTTCAAGAGCTATGTTGAATTGCTGAACCCCTTACGAAACGTAGACTGATATTTTGGCAAAAGTGCATTTGTATCAAAGTAATGAATTATTTGTCTGTAAATTAATTTTTCAAGCACTTTTCAAACCGTTGACAATAAGTTAATGGGTCTAAGATCAGATGCATTCATTGGAGCACTAACTTTAACGAAATGAAAAACTCTTGCCACTTTCCATAGCGTAGGAAATACTTGTGGGTGAGTCAATGATGACACGATTGTTGGACAGTACATATTCCATCATTTCGAATTCTTTATATGAACGCTTTGAACTTAAATAACTCCTAAAGGTCTCACTGCTTAGTCTCACACAGTCTATAAAATGCTTGTTAATTAAGTTTGGATTTCTAAGGCGAAGCGGTATCTCATTGGAGGTCTTCGATCTTTTATCAACATTTAAATGACGGAGGGTCCGCCACATTTCAAGATACGCTTTTTTCTTGTCGTACCGCAGAAGTAAATAAAAATAAATAAATGGACTCTAATATTTTAGATTTACAGTCCCAAAATGATGTTATTCCCAGTTATTGTACAAAGTCAATATTGTGTTAGTTTTGTAATTGTCTACGAATCTACGAATTACGAACTATTTTCCAAATTATTAAGAATTTAAGATGCCGATTTAATATTTTGCCCATACCGATGCGTCATTTGAAACCAGTCGCAAGTAACTCCAGATTATTACGCAGGAAATGGATTTCGCTGGCCATTAGCAAACTTTTTGCACCCGATATCGGGGTGGGGTCGAAAGCGCCCCTAAAAATTCACTCATCGGTAAATATTTGTCGCCCATGCCATAAGTTCGAGTGATTGGCACGCGCCCAGCGTGCTCGTTTTTTTTTCCTTTTTTTTTTGATGGACACGTTGAGGGGGCAACGGTCAAATCCATATAGAATTACACAAAAGACTTTTTGCGACCGATTATTTGCCGTGCGTCTAAGTATTTTTTATAAAAGGGGACACGAAGTCCTCCGATCTCCTAGTCTGTTGATTAACCTTGTATATGTGAACTTTTTTTGAATACCGGTATAACACAAGGGGCCAATTTTCTGAATTCACTCGCAAATTAGCACGTGGGGCTAAGTTTAACGTTGCTAAATTCGTGATGCATTTAAAGCCTGCGAAGTGATCGAATTGAAGAAAGTGAAGAAACTAACAGAATCCTTTAGATTTGCCTGTAAAAGGGGACCCAAAAAATCGTTTTTATTTTTATTATTAAAAAAACGAGAAAAATAAAATTTATTATAATTAGGAATATTTTTTTTTCATAGTTGTTCCTAAAACAATCATTATTTTCCGATTAAAATATATCATTAATTCGATTTTACTTACTTTTTGGGGAAAAATATTTAAATGTTAAAATTAAAATATCTCAGTAAAAAAGTAGGTTTGGAGGACGGCCAGCGACATTCTTGTAAAAAATATGAAAATTTTGTAAAAAGTGACTTTTATGTATCAATCAAAAGAATTCATTACCTAAATTTTTAATTTTTTAACGACTTAAGACAGTAGCATGGCACTGAGTACTTAATAATCATAATATTGCAAGTAGATATACATCACCATGAAGTAATGGGTAGGCAAATTTGAGGTTATGAACTCTGTCGAATGATGAAATATTAAGAATTGAGCATGCTTTGACATTTATTTATCCCTATCTCAAAGCTTATCAGTGCAATTTTTTTGATTTCTATAACTGAAATACTTTTTGAGGTTTTTTCCACAATTCTTTCGTATTATACTAGTAAACTACTACTACTAAACATTTCTATATACCGGACAGTTTTTACTTTTTGCATTTCTTATTCCTCCCATTGTGGTGATGAACAGTTTTAAGACATAAACCTTTTAAATATATTGTTTTACATGGTGTGCATCGAGGGAGTTTTTTTTTCAATTTCTGTAATTCATTATTAACGTGGACAAAAGCACAACGCCAGTAAGGTATTAGCTGCGGTCCAACAAAGTAATAATTATAACTCCTAAGGGTCCCTTATAAACGGATATATATTTTTTTGATGATTAGTCCAAGGTATTTCAATTCTCGCACCCTTTTCAATTCTGTTCTTGTTGTCGAATACACTTAAATACCAATGGAAAATGACCAATGTTTACTTTCTTAGTTTTACTTTCTTCTGCAACAGACTCAAGCCAATCGTATGCAAACATAAAGTAGTCTGATTTTGGCTTCACCTTCACCTTAGGCCCTTGGCACAGTCAGAAATAAGTAATAAAATATCTATGTTTCGGCATCTCCCTTAAATATTCTAACTAGCAATATTATATTTAAATAAACACTCAGTACAAAGTGTTTGGGATAGATCAACAGTAGCTTTCGCTGGTAAAACGTAAATTTGTTTGCACCTGCTTAAAGCAAACATTCTGTTTTTTTTTCTCAAAATAATTTGACTTTTATAAGATTATAAAGGTAGCCAAAATTTTATTGTTATAATTTATTGTGTGCCCCTAAAAAATATTGTTAAATGGAAACACATTAACGACGGCCACTTTCTCTTAAAAGTTTTAAGAGTTTCAATGATAAATTATTTGTTATAATTTATATTATTTATTCGATGAAATAGTCTTCTAAATTGGATCGTGAAACGAAAGTAGCAAGTTATAATCAAATTATTGATTTATTCATTTATTGATAATTAATGATACACGGATGGAAAGGGAATCCCAGAAAAGTCGACCGAGGAGGGAAATCTATAAAAGAGCTGCCAAGCTACAAAAGAAAGCTCGTAAGAAAAATGAGACGTCTACAGGCAGGTCACTGCTGGCTGATGAGGCAACTGAAAATAATGGGATGAACCACTAAATTCAAGAAATAAAGGAAGCAACCACACAAGCGCTATGCCGATGTGAACATCTATGGGGATTGCGCTTCCATCTTCTCAGCGAACTAACCAAACCAGAGGCAATTATCTACATCAAGGAGGCACTATCGAAGTTGTAGAGTCTAATCAGAGAGACGAGAGTCGCGAGAGATTCTTTGAGTCATAACCACGTATAGGCCAATTGCTAACCCAAATTTCGAATCTTTTACCACGCCAAGTACTGCTGCGAAATCACAAACCAACATTTCAAATTTCAACTTTAATCTAATAAATTTCGATCGTAAATCGATCACGTCACCATCGAGCAAGCGTCTATCGCCGACTTGATTTTTTCCAAAGCACAAACCGCGTAATCTATCACAGTTTTCATGTCGGACGAATAGTTGCTTGTGTGACATCTCGTCAACAGATCGTAAGCGTCTTGGGAAGCGTTATTCAAAATTTCGACCAGTTCCTCGTTGAGCGACAAACGTTTGTCGCCGTTCGCGAACCTCCTCGAACACGTCCCGAACGCACCCTGACGCGAATTTAACCGATTGTCACTCTCGAAGCTGCCGCCGTAATCTTTGCCCAATTCTTTCACTCTGTCGGCGTATCGTAGAGTGTTGAGCGTGTTCTCGCAACAATCCATCCCCGGCGATATCAGAGCTATCATGCAGGTCTTGGAGTTCGCCCCGACGAAAGAATCCCTCAGAACTTGTGTCAGTTTCGACGCTCTAAACGGTAAATATCCACTTTTCCGGCCCATCGCTCTGATGCACTCCTTCAGCGACAGCAGGCTTTGGTTAATTTCCGCACCTTCGATACGGGTGACTTTCGTCGACAGTGACGTATCCGCCCCTCTCTCGTTTCCCGCTAAATCGACCAGCGAGAATTTCCCGTGTAGTCTGATCGGCACGTCCTTGGTCCTCAGGAATATTTGGAAGATGGCGTGGGACCTGGACGATTGGAAATTCTTCGACGTCTGTCCCGCCGACCTTTCCTCGCCTCCGAGTGCTATGAGCTCCAGAATGTCGCTCTCCCTCGTCACCCCCTTCTCCGTTAACCCGACGATCTGGACCAGCTGTCGGCCATCTTCGAGAATCCTCAGTTTGCGTCGCTTGTTCAAGAGATCGAAGCCCTGCTTGCCGTAGATTTCGAAGAAACTGCACGAGATTGCCAACCTGCGGTTCCGGAATTTGGGAGAGTTAACTTGTCTGAATACGTCCGCCGCCGACAGTGCGTAGATACCTGTTGAAACCAGTGAGCATTTATACTAGTACAAGTAGACACCGCATTTTTATAGGCTATCTCAGATAAGTCTTATAAATATCTAATTAATAAACAGGCTTTCTTGTCATTTTTAACCACTCAAGATCTTCCTCAAATATTGTCCTCATTCCTGTATCACGGACTGACAGAAAATGAACGACACTTTAATGACCAAATAAGTACCTTATAAGTATCACACTTTATAACTAGCACACGATAGTCATGACTTACCTGACCTATCATAAATGGAGGGCCCTGTAACCTCAATAAACATCTTAGAAATGTTAAAATCATATGCGTATTGCTTGGTAACGAACAAAAAAAAAGTGTTATTTCAATATGTGTTTAAAAAACTTAAAATTTTAATAAACTGTTTGAAAAGACATCAGTCAACGTTTACTATAAAATTCCTGAAACTTTAACATGGGAAATAGAAAAATCCGCAATTAATGAATATTCTTTGCATTTGCATTAGAGACCCGACGATTAGTGAAATCTAGACAAAAACATTTAACTCAAATTCATAAATTTCGTGTAGAAAACCGAAATATATGTTATTTAGATATGTGAAAATTCTTCACTATATTTTCAATTTACCTGCAACTAAAGGAAAACGAGTATCAGTTTTACTGGGTGGCTCACGAAAATACTGCCAACAGGACATGACAAGTGAACTTTTTGACAATTGGGGAAAAAATTCTTTTCCCCGAAATATTTCACCGGGCAGCGTAATAGTTTATGATAAGGCTCGTTATCAGAGAGAGAATTTATCTAAACAATTTTGAATTGAAGTTTGAATTTATTTTGTTTTATTTGCATTTTTATATTTTCGGTAAAACGCTCGGCAACACTGCCTTAAAAACCAGTGGAAGATCAGTCGAAAATCTGCATCGGTCGGTAAACCCACAAAATTAAAGTGATGTATGTATACGCGAGTTCAAAGTTAACGGGTTTTGGGGAAAAACAGACTTCGGTGATTTTTGTTTCCCTTGGTTCTTCCTTTCCTCTATTTTCCTTTCTTCACCGAGAGTGTAGTGTATACGATCGCGGACAGTCCGGGAAAGTCAAAATTAAATTTAATTGCGACCAGTTGGCTAAAGGCCACACAAAAATACTTACATAAAAAGGAACCAGTTAAAGTTTTAAGAACCAAATCGTATGATAAAATGTATTTCTTAGACGAGGTCATAAAAGATCAGGTAATTAAACTTATCAGTGCAATTTGAATCCTATAGATGATATGGGCCGAATTGTTTAACAAAGAAGCAATAATACAAACCCAAAAATATGCATCCATGCAATTGATGTACTTGAAAATAAATATGAAGTAATACATATCTGTGCAATGTTAAATATACGACATTAAGAAATATAAGATAAGGTCGTTTTGAACAATCTGTTTACAATATACAGAGTTCGCCAATATGTGTTTCCTTAATTCCTATTTTTAAATTTGAAAATCCGTTTTCTATGTAATTTTTCAAGAAAGACGTAAATGTCAAAAATGTCACGCCGGCTTGATTTTTTTGAATATATTTTTCTCTCTGGAGAAGCTTTTTCAGAAATCATTTTGAGTGCCTCACCGTCTCTGTTCTCTAAATTTATACAGAAAATAAGTTTAAATATGGCCGCCGACCGATCGTCAATAAGTTTGGATGCGGAATTTTTATGGTAGTGTTTTCTCGAAATATTAAATGTTCAGGGGAAACGGGTTAAGTGTGTGGAAATCGCTGTTTAGAAATTCAATAGAGCAAATTTCAGGTTAATTTCTGCATCAATTTTTACCGTAGTAGGGCAACTATATTATCTAATAGTTATGTGAGTGAAAACTCACTCACTCAGACAACGTAACCAATATAAATCCCGAGAACAGAAATAGTAAGGGAGACATTTAAAATGATTTTAAACTATCGACACTATTATTCATAGCGGTCAGCTAGGCAGTTACTCATATTATTAAATTCAGAAAGGCTATTATTTATTATTATTATCATATTGTATTATATTATTCAATTCAGAACGGGAATGCCCATCCGGAGGGGTTTGTTTACGCTGAAAACCAAGATGGTATCGTATCTTTGACATTTAACAAGTGCTCGTCGTAAGGAATGAAGAAAAGTTATATATAATTGTAAAACAGCATTTTGAGTGAGATAGTTTTATGAAATAAACCCAAAATAAACCCTCTGCATAACCAAAGCAGAAAGATCTAATTACAGAGATGAAAATATTTATTTACACAGATTTATTACACTAAGATGGTTCAATTTACCGGAGACGCGGTTAAATCCAATTGGTCATTAAGTAGTAGATTAGAATATCTCATTTTGTTAATCTCCATAGCTTCCAACAAATTTGGTTTTTTGCTTTTTGATTGATTAGGCAAAATATCAAGATTATCGTCATTTCTGAATTTAAATGAATGGCATAGTTAGGATCCGAACTTTTATTTTTACACGCCCATTTAACCTTTGCTGGATGTATAATAAGAGCAGGTGTTCAATGTAAATAAACTTTTGTGTATTTTCATCTGTCTGACCAGATATTTGCTTTTTGGTTATACCGTGGGTTAATGGATTGTTTATTTTATAGCACTGTCTCAATCAAAATACTGTTTTCAAATTATAAATGACGTTCTCTTGGTAGCTTTAGACGACTGTTCTTGGAGCACTGGTGAAACTTCAAAGATACGTCACTATCTCCGTTTTCAACATAAAAAACCGTTGTATATTTTTATCTCCGGATGGGCAATTGTTGCGAACTTAAGAGAGTCACTTTATGTTGCCGCTATGTTTGAGTCACTACGGCCACTACGAGCATATTGTTTTGGTCTATTATCAGCAACAGTGCCGTGAGCCTCGAATCTAGACATTAAATTACGCACAACGGTCTGGGAAGAAGCCTGATTATGAAAAAAATCTGCTCGAAATTTACTAATTGACACAGTAAAATTTTCACCGTTTTGATTGAGTAAATTTGCACAAATAAAATTGTTATTACTAAATAAATGACAAAGGATCACGGCTTAATTCTTAACGTTTCGTTATTTGATAGTCTATTTACTTTCTAACCTCAAAGTTGCCATCTTATATAAATTAACATCTCGATCGAAGCCTTTACTACTGTATCTGTTCTAGATATGGATTATTTATCAATTTGAAAGGAGTTTTTGGTGTTTATACAAAAATTTTGTACTCTGTGACTGTGGTATTTGCAACTACTTGTCATTAAGATTAATCAATTTGCATACAAAATTTATTTTCAAGGAGAAGCTTAGTATTTTGAATTTCCTTGTTGCTAGAACAAATTTAACAGACTAACTTCAACTTTTCAAACGTCAAATTTTTTTCAAGCTTGCCTCAATATTTTTCTACACTGGATTGTAACTGTCCACACCTCAATTGATTTAATTGGTATCATTTGGTTGCATTCTTCTTTGTATTGGCACTATTGGTGCCAAAATTGGTCTACATTGATTAGAAATAGCACATTGCATTGTTCTAGAAATGTATTGCTCTGAAATATACTAAATATTTACTAGCTTCAGATTCTAATAAGCATTTTCTAAGTTAATTTAGCCATTGGACCAACATAGAACTCTCTCGAATGTCAAAAATGCAGCCATGTGTTCATTGTAAATAAACCTATGTGTGTTTTCATCTCTCTGAACAGACTTTTCCGCTTTGGTTCTATAGAGAGTTTGTGGATGGTTTATTTTATAGAACTGTCTTAATTAAAATACTCTTTTCAAATTATAGATGACGTTCTCTTTGGACGAATGACCTTGGAGTACTTGTGAAATGTCAAAATGTCAAAATGTCACTATCTTGGTTTGCGACGTCAACAAACCCTTGTATATTTTTATCTCACCGGATGGGCATTTCCATTCTGAATTTAACAGTTTGGTTTTTTGGTTTTTTGTCGATATTTCCCAATCAATTTACCCATCGTAAATCTCAAGCCTGTTATCAAATGCACTAACTTTCCTCTAAAACTTTCCCCATTTAACCATTACTGTAGTTATAATAGTAGCGGAGATCCCTGCATGGAGAAGAGAATCTGAGACACATCTTATATTCTAATAGATAGATTAAAATCAGAGTAGCACACAGCGATAAACAATTGCCAAATCCTTTCGAATTGTTTTCAATGTGTACAGTAGAAGTTGATGGGATAGCATTAGAGTGGTAAACAGCTACAAATACAATTGCAAAGTCTATAATTAACAGAAGCTCAGAAGACAACAATCAGAGCGGTGGTTGCACAAATTATCAATTCCGAAATAAGGAAAAAGTGAACGAACGCGTCTATAGAAAATAAAGTATTGCAAACCCCACGATACCTTTTTTCTCAGCACTACCGCTCATCGTGAACGTTTTCCCCGAGCCAGTCTGACCGTAGGCGAAACACGTAGCAAACCCTCCGTCGAAAACCGTTTTGACCAATGGCTGAGCCGTGTGCTGGTAAACCATTTCGTTTGAGCATTTCTCGTCCAAAACGCAATCGTACCTAAACACGTGGTTCTCCAAATACTTTCTCAAATCGAACTTCACTTTCGGTTCGTGAACAATCACCCGGTTTAGGTCGGCGATCGTCACGATGTCGATTTCCTGCTTCAGCGCTTCGATTTTGCTCAGAGGTCGTTTCCTAACCACGACTTTTATCAAGTGGTCTTCCGCTGGGATATCGTTTTCCGACACGCTGTTAAACTGAATGTTGCGTCTGAAATCACAAATCATCTCCCTTAATCCTATCCGAGAATCGCTAGGAATCCTGGCGGTTGCTTCTTCGGTCTTCGTTTTCGCTTCAGGGATATTCTTACGTCTGGCGGTCTTTGTGCATCTCGTGGTGTTAGCGGGTGCTTCAACATGCGACCTAGCGGATTTCGCTGTGAAGATAGTTCGTCTCTTGGCGTCGCCGTGATGCTCTTCCTGCTGGCGTTTTTCAAAATTCACTGCGCTTAAACGCGGGACGAAACTTTCCCTTATAGGGTCCGGTTTGGGTTTCAGCACCCCTGCGGGATTGAGGTTGAGCACGTGATTGAAATGGACTTCTTTCCCTTTAATTTCGTCGTTTTCGCTCCACTCGACGTTGACGCATTGAATTTCGAAGTCGATCGAGGCGATGATCGCCCGTTGGAGTTGCCCGTTCGTCCTTTTGATTATGATTTCCGACCCTTCGCGTAAGGTTGACTCATCCATGGCGCAAATTTTAAAAGAACGTCGCAATGTCACATCTGAAGGACGCCAAGTGTCGTCGATCACGCGGGTGACGTTATATTCAAAGGAGATGAGACACTCGTGTAAAACCCCTAAAAACTAGCAACCAACTAACCAAATATGGAAAGGATGAAAGTGAATCCCTGCAATTTATTGATGTATACTACAAATTAAACGTTATAAAATAATAATAATGATCATAATAATATTTATTACTCATCAAAATAATATAGAAAGTATCACCAAATATTGCTAGCCATATGGTTGCAAAAAAGGGGTTCAAAACAATTACAAAAAGTTCAAATTCAATCCATAAGCCCTGAAAGCATTATACAAATAGATATTTGTAACAAGCACTAAATGAAAAAGTTTTATTCAACTGCAAATGGAATAAATAATAAAAAACCCAATAAGAGGAAAAGAAAACAAACAACAACGGCGAGTAGGTACTTTCTATAGAGACATTTATATAAGTTTAAGCTTAAGTATTATAATTTTTCCGGAACTCCATTATACAGCTTATCGACGTTAGAAAAATGGTTAGTTGATGCGGTGGAGGCGATATATAGCCAGCAAGTTCAGCGTATGCATATCAGTAGGAAAGTCAATTTTATTATAAACTTACTCAACATACTTATTAAATATTATAATATGGACCCTTTGTATTCAAGGAAATCCAAACATCACAAAATTAAGATGATTTAAAACCAACAATTCAGTAAACCTTTTTTAATGACTTTGGCAACAAATGTCAGTTTGGATATAACATTTTTGCATTAATGTCTTAATTATGATTATGTGAAAAGTGAAGTAACCTTTCTAAATCTTCATTTATTAATATTTGAGCCTTATTGTGAAATAATTGTGGAAAAGTGAACGGCTCAGTTGTGCGTAAAGATGTACATTATAAAACCGCAAACAAGATCTTCCGTGTTAAATGTAGTAAATACGAGTAGAAGAACTTTCGACATATTCCACTTCTCCGGAAACACTTTATCTAATAGAAATAAATTGACAATATTAGTCAGAAAGGGGAGGCTTCCAGGAGAGCTCAAAAGGGCCATATTAATATTTAAGCCATCTTTTCCGCATCCAAGAGTCTTTATTTCTAGGAAAAACTTTCAGACATTCTCTTCTCATTCATGTAAATTTAAAATAGCACTTCAAAATGTGTTTTAAAATTATTTTGATAATAATCTAAGATTCAAGGAAGAATTTCAAGCTGACGAGAAACTCTTGGACGTTTTATTAGGGTTGCTCAAAAATTAGGGTATTTCATTATAAGCTTTATTTGTAGATCATTAAGATCATCAAAGAGTCTTGGATTTATCAAAAATATTAATGTTCCAGATAATGGTTTTTTTCTGGGAGTATGGCTATATTTGTTTGGTTTTTTATTTATTAGTGCTGGTTCCACTTTGCGCCTATCTTAGCTTTTTGAAACTTACTGCAACTGTTAAGTTTTAATGAAATCATTTTGTGTGTCGGAAAAGTAGGACGTTGTTGTTTATTGATTTTCACTTGTCCCTGCCAAGATTCTTAACATTTCTTACCTTTATTGTCTTATATGTTTTAGTTATATTACTTTGCAAGTTAAAGAGTGGTCAGTATATCTGAAATGTCTAAAATTCCGCAATGAAAATTTTTTTTTTCTTTGGGTATTACAGTGTTGCAGACCAATGTCATAGTAGTGACTAGAGCGTTGCAATGAAACCACTCGATTCATGCACTTCTTCTGCTAGAAGAGTCACCTAGAAGAGTCCTACTCTCGGGGAAGTGCAATACCTCTTTCATGGGGAGTTGCGATAGTCGCTCGGGCTGAATGAATTGAACTTCTAGTACTCTTGCGTCTAGGTGGTTAGAAGATATGGAGTGACCCTTTTAGATGTCAAAGCCGCTTTGGGATTGCTACTAGCGCTCGAAGTTGCGAGACGGACTGAAGGCACGATTTTGAGACGTAGATGTGCGTCAACCAAAGCTTTCGACTGCCTCAGTTTTGGTAGACTCTCCCAACATAGAGACAACCTGCTTTCAGTACCATTAAATTCAGCTAGCTCTTCACTGTCTGTTATTTCAACGGAAAGCGGAAGGTTCCAACTGAGAAGATTACAATCTGCCAATTTTATCAATGTTTCTCGGGAGTCAAAATGAGCTCCCCTTCACAAAAGTAGAAGCTTCTCCGAATAGGCTCTATTGAGATTCCCGTGAGCACACAATAATACCGCATAACCCTATGTTTGTAGGATTCCAAGGTATTATAAGGGTAGATAACACAAACACAGGTATCCTACGCTTTAGGAGAGGCTTGTGTGTTTTGGACCCTTACTGCTTGAATCTCGTTATACTCTGTCAATATTTCACTATCTCAATATATCAAGCTGTCTTTAGAACAACTGATTCAGCTAGCTCTTCAGATCACTGTCTGCTATTTCAACGGTAAGTTTCGATCCAAGCCCAAGTTTCTTAGCTATCTGATTGCCCTCAGTATCCATATGAGTTGATACCCAGACGAGTAGGCCAGATTTACAGGGTGCCAGTCTTATCAATGTTTCCCGACAACCAAACGGAGCTCCCCATTCCCAAAGACAGAAAGTAGGACATCCGCTCGACTGTCTCTGCAAATATAGATGTGCTTATAATACACTCGGATGTATCTTCTTCTTCTATCCTAGTGCGTGTTTTGAACTTTTCCCCTTCATTTTTTCTGCGGTACAGAGCTTTGCAGGGATCCTCCTTCTATATGGTGCACGAAAGTCATCCTAGATTCATTTCTGTCTGTTTAATGAGAAAACGAAAGCTACTTTTTGTAGGCATAGGAAAATCTGTAGTACAACAATAAGTAGTGTAGATTTGAAGAAACCTTATTTAAGGCAAATTTGCTCTCAGAAGTGCAAAAGGTTTTTAGACCATCAACACATTACACACAAAAATTTTAAATTTGTCGTTAGCTTAGTGTCAAGATATCAATTCCAACGACTGTTCGTTTTCTTTGGCGTTCGCCCTGAAAGGTGTTCCTAATTGCCATTAGTTGAAGTTGGTCACCTGACCTAGATCACTGACACCACTTAATTGACAACATTGTCGTCTATGCTCCTTTTCGTTAGCAAAATATTCAAAAAGCATATTAATTTCCAAGCACAACCTACAATATTATAGTATAAATTTTAATGCATACGTAAAATTAGAAAATAAAAAGCTAATTATGCCAAGAAAGGAGGGAAGAGTTTTTGGCATCTCCATAAAATTTTAATTACTCCAATTTTTCTTTCTACATAGGAAGCAGATTATAATATTTAGACAATAACATTTCACTTACTATTAACCTATATTTTGATAGTTTGGGAGCACGTTTATGAATGTACGAACATATATTCAGGATAAACAACTGCTAATATTGGTACTATGCATTCCATGGTACAGAAGCTAGCTAATTAACAACCAACAAAACTAACGAAACAATTCTTGGGTACAAAGTACAAATGGTTTGACCACCTTCCAAGAGATTTTCTAAAATTGGGAAAAGATTATGCATTTTTACCATTTTGGCGTTGATTTTTAGTTAATTGAAACCACAATGAGAAACGGATAGTAGCCACATTAAATCTGTGTTTAAATTTTAGTGGACTAAAATTTTTGCCACACGAACTCCCTACTGTGGTGGGATCCGACAGCTAAATAAGTCTATCAATCAACTTGTCTGGTGGGAATGGATGAGACACCATATTTACGATGAATTAATAGGAGCATTTGACAAAACTGGGCAAAATCTCGTTATTGTTTGGAGTGAAATTCGCCTCCCCCGGATTTGTGTGCTAAGTGACAAATCGGTTGATTGATGAACAGTGGAACATCACTAGCTAAACATACTTTATATGCCTTTTATCGGAGAAGCTATGCATATATATATATATATATATATATATATATATATATATATATATATATATATATATATTTTTTTTTTTTTTCTTTTTTCTTGAATTTATCGTGGGTATTCGGTCTCTTGAAAACAATTAATGTGATTCTTCTAAATATTTATTAACGTTTCGATCTTTTTCAAGATATCCTTATTTTGAATAGGTGACATATAACAATTAATGATATTTGACGTTGTGTTAATATATTAAAAATAAAAATAATTTGTAAGCGAATATTTTATACGGATTGGAATGGCATGCGAACCAGGTACGGATGTTGGATAATTTAATTTTGTTAGTTTATAATTGAATGATATATTTTGTTAAGGTTTTTAGAATCGGTTTTGTAATTAATTGAATTTTTATTTTTTTGGATTTCTATACTTTCATAAAGTTCTCTTTTTTTGGTTTTAGGTTCTGTTAGTAGGACTTTGTATTCCTTGAAAATGGTTTGAAATTTTTCTGATAATCCAGGTATACATGAGAGCGATATATATTTTCTTTGAGGATTTTGATGTTGATTTTTGTTTACGTTATTATAAAATTTGTTGGTACGTTTATTAAACATATTATTATTTAAGTTTATGGGATAATTATTTTCTACACGTCTGTGTTTTGCTTTTTCAATTGCGTCTGGTCTATATTTTGGATCGGATAACATTATTGCTCTGTCGGCGAAACTTATTATGACGGATTTTTTTTGGGCTAGGGAATGATTAGATTTAAAATTTAGATAACGTGATGATTTTGTTTTCTTAGTATACCAACTTGTTATGTATGTTATGTTTTGTATATGATGTAGGGATAAGTCTAAAAAGTTAATAGTATTTTGGTTCTCAATTTCAATTGTGAATTGTAATTTTTTGTGGAAATTATTGAAGGAGTTTAGCAATAAGCCTGTTTTTCTTTTTGGAACTGCAGTTATGATGTCGTCGACATATCGATAAAAAAAAGGTAAATTGAATTGAATATTTTTAGTAACATTTTCTTCTAGATACTCCATAACAAATTGTGCTACTATGCTTGAAATTGACATACCCATGGCACAACCTTGGACTTGTTTATAGAA